CTCAGCATTTTATATCAATCGTTGTTGTAATGAGTGACAGCAGGTTTTGGTAAGTAGCGTATTTATCGATCGACTTAGTGACACGTAAATACGTAATGAACGACCTAGAGTCCCGATCGGCCCTGAATCCCTGTCTATCCCAGCCAGTTGAGTCCAGAACGCAAGTTACAGCCTCTGAGATATGAATCGTTGTATTTCAGACATACTCTATTTATATACTAACCAAACATACCACATCGTACCATAAAAATAGAAAACATTTTGTACAATATTCAACAAGTGAACAGATATCGACCAATAGGAAATGTCCATTTAAAGTCCAAGGACACCATTGAACTTAACATGATAATTATTGGTCGATCCTTCCGCATCCACAATACATAGCTTTCACAACATTAATAAAATAAATCTATTACTCAAAGTGAGTATAATTCACTACTTACATGCATAATAAATTAGGAAGTGAACTTCGTAGCATTTTTCAATCTGATCTATATCATTGCATTAATTAAAAGAGATAAATAACTGTACAATATTATTTTATCTGACTTCAAGGGACTAAAATTTAAATTCTGTTCATTCAAGTACAATATTTAACTTAAAATGATTAATCTTAGAGATCCGAATTAGTTAAGTTGTCCTATGTTAACTATTTGAATTTGAACACTTTTATTTATATTCATGTTCAATGAAAACAACTATAGATTGAATGAAAAATATCACATTGCAATCATTAATGAAATTGAACAAAATCTCAAACCTCATACTTCGTTCGACATAAATTAACTCACATTAATATTGGCATAACAGCTTGTACATAAGAGTGCGTGTTCCATTTTACTCATATAGTAACATAATAAATCAAGAATGGCAGTGTCTGTAGAATACGATAAATCTATTAGCATTGGATTTTATTGGTATCAAGAACAAATCTTAAACAATGATTGAAAATCGGGAAACGCTGGATAGATGGGTGGTCATATTGCGGGACGTTTAAGCAGTGCTCATTCGCGATCACATTGAAGATGGAGTCTAAGACACTAAGTTTCGTACAAAAACGTTTAGCCTGTAGACTAGTGAGCTGCAATCAAACAACGTATATATGTAACTTCAGTCAGTCCACTGGTAATATTAATAACATCCAGTAATCTCTGCATACCTCTATACTGATCATTTAATTGAATTTATTACCCTTTTTCCAAACTTTACAAAGGCTAACAAGTTTACTTAGAGAATTTATACAAGTTCATAGAAATGGGATGGTGGTTGAATGTAGTAGACAGGAAACCTTGGTCCGAGGTTTCACACTATTTGGCACTCGTCAGGAAGGTGTGCCTGTAATATTGAGAGGACTGATGCTCCCTGACAGGTCCGATCCCTTGTCACGCAGCTTCACAGTCAGAGGCGTTACCACCGAGCTGTCTGGGCCACGAATAACCTCCTGTAAAACTAAGATGTGTTTACAATTGATTGATCACTAGTTAGTGATCAATGCCATTTATGTCAGGTTCTTTTTAGTGAAGATCTAATTCTATCAACCAAGTTTCAATGTTATCATTAGTCTTGGTAAGTAGACATTTCGTTCCCTGTAGACTACCTCCAACCAGCATCACATCTTCACATAGTGCAGGCAGTCAGTCACCTAGACTAGTGGTCAAATTGCAACTTGGTCGATAAAATTCGATCTGCACTAAGAAAGACTTAACATACGTGACACTGACCACTACTCAGTGATCAATCATGGGAATGGATAAGTTACGGCTGCTCAATGTTAGTTAGCTAGAGTATTTTGAAGTGAAAAGGAAATCATTTACAGAAGTAAACTGAAAAAGGACAAATGTAAAAAACCCAACTATTGTAGCAATCATAAATTGACAGATATTTTAAATGAAGGGTTTGTGTCTGGATGTTTATACTGGTCAGCAAAGTATAGGAAAATTGAGTAATTATACCTGTTAATTAATGATGCGCAGTAGAGAAGGCGTTTGAACCAACTCTATTTAGCAAAGCGTGACTCAATATTTATAGTCAAACCAAAAATAAGTCACAGACATTTTATGTATTGGGTAAGCGTTTAATACGCATACGTTCATATAAAAACAGTCAGGGTTGATAAGGGAATAAGTGATAGGGTAAAAATGTGGGTTGAGAAGAGTGAATAGATTGGTCTACCCAGAGGTTAAAATAGCCAATGAGAGCTTGATATAGTACCAGCCACCACAATATAACTTAGAATAATATACCTAACAACTACTAATTAAGCAAAAGTTGACTAGTAATTCACAATTCAAGCCGAGTTCAAATATAGTCTGGTTTTTACAAAAAAGGAGTAAAAGTAAATTCCATTCGAAAATGTAACGATTGAGATAACATGACTAGTTATAACTATTATTATACATACACGGGATTATTTTGGAATAAATAAGCTATCGTAAAATACTAAAAGAAATAACTGAACTTTCACAGTCAACAGAAACAAAGAATGAAAATAAACAGGATCACTGGTTTTTAAATTGGGAAATGAATCCAATACAGTAGTAATCATTCAAGTAATAATAATAATAATAATAATAATAATAATAATAATAATAATAATAATAATAATAATGGCAGTGACCCGGAAATGACTCCAGGATGTTTTGACTTGAATGTCAAAGTCAGAAAGGTTAACAGTATTCTTTTCATGAATCATCATGAAAAACAGTTCAGAATGATCAGGTAAACTACATTTCATGAAATGGATGGTGGCTTGCAGTGGAATCTAGGACTCGCGTTTCGTCCTAAGCATCAATGGAAAGATTTAAATAACCATTATGAAAATGCGTCACATTTTCTGAGTTTCATTGAGGTCACGAACCAATCAACGTTAAACCACCACTAAGAGCACAGAGGCACTGGATGATCGTTTTTTCGCAGCTCGGGACTCCTCGACCGTGTTCATTCACAATTCCGCACCTGGAATTCTAAACCAGGACCTCCAGTCTCGCATGAACGCTTAATTTCCTGACCACTGAGTCGACATCCAATTATGTTAATGTCCAACTTCAACCAATCCACGATATTGAGTGACTAATCTCCATTTTCTTCGGCGAATAACTGCCTCACACTTGACAAGGTTGAGCTTCACTGGTCAAGGTTTCTCACTAAAACTCGGAGAATGACCTCTCAAAATTAGTCACTAGTGAGTTATAATGATTAATAATAAAGGGTTGCGGAGATAGTTGAGTTTCACTGAGATTTGAAATAACTAACAATTCGGGTTTTGAATAAGAATACACATTTTAGTAGGACATGTTCAAAATTCAGAACTGCGTCTTCACTCGAACTGAAAGTTTGGAGATAAATATAAATCTTTCCACTGGTATATTTAAAAAGTTTACAAATCCAGTTTAAGTAGACGTTGTTGATGCTGTTTGGAAAGATAATTTGACTTGAATCATTAAACCATCTATTTTAGAGGTATACATAGTCACTTTTGATACTGTACCACTTTAGACCTGAACTCCGTGTACAAAAGTTATCTTTAAATTTCTTAATTTAATTTGTAATGGCTTCCTTTTTTGTCTTGAGGAGAGCAAGAACAAAGAATTGAACAGTTGATGAGAACGTTATGTAATGAAACGAATTCATGTTATTCTGACCAATTCTTCATTTCTTTTCAGATTGATGTTCTTGGCTGAATTTTGATCAGTCTAAGACAGTACATGTGCGCCCTATACGAAGTTCCCTGATATCGCCATTATATCCTAAATGTGTGTAAGGTATATAGAGAGTATGACTAGGAGTAGGACCAATGAACTCTGAGATATAGCTAAATTTGTTTGATTCGTCCCAATTAGGCCGAAACGCAAGTATTAGATTTCACTGTTAGCCACATTTTACCTATTCTATGTTAAAAGTTTTTAATCGTCATGATCTTAGTTCTTCCCTAATACGACATATTCTTGGATAACTAAAAGTTACAAATGAGCTTTTCCTGTATCCATTCTTACAAAACATGTATTATGACTTGGTAATGGAAATCATTTTTATTATTTTCATAGCTCAAGGCATTGCTAAACAAACTTTTATGATTTCAAAAAACTAATACTCATCATTTATCATTTGAATGTATAGTTCGTAAAATAGTTATCATGATAAAATAGCCATTCACCATATATCTGCAACATAAATCACTTTCAGTTAACCATTTTTTTGATAAAATCGTCTTACTTTAAAGTGTTCATCAGTTTAGGAGCTTAAATTTAAAAAAAATATGGTACATATCTATGTTAAGTATTAAGTATGTGATACACTCACAGAACAGATGGGATAAGATTTTTTGAGAGGAGTGAGGTAAAATGCCAGGATATTACCGATAAACCATGCTCTTTCTCAAGAACAGATGGACTACCACACGGTCACAAAGATGAAATTTAGATGGGATTAATAAGTGTTGGTTGGTTATTAAAAATAAAGACAAAAACAATGCTCTCTTTCGAAGACTGTACTACTTTAAAATTATTATAAGTAATATAATTATTAATCACGTAAGCTTCCTGGTCGCTGCCTTTTTCTAAAACGAAGCATGAATATTTGTATCAAACAAAAGTTCTATATTGCTACGAGCTTGTTGAAAGTAATTTCGTCATATTCTTGAAATCGGATGTATACTTGATCTTTATGGGAATATCGCTAAATCAAACGCTTAAATGTATTTCTTTTTCTGTGCTTTTAATGAAGCAAATTGACTGAAAATCGTTCAGATACTTTAAAATAAAAACAATTTCCAGTCAAAAATTTAGATGAGACATTCGTAACTAGTTCAACATTAACACTTGTACACTTTTAGTAGGGTTTGTAATCTACCCGAAGTCTAATGAATAATATACCTTTCAAATTCATACTAATTCTTTGAAAAAATAACAAAGTGAAGGACAATATCATTGCAAATAAAATCGATCGATAACCTTTCTTAAATAGATTGAAGCTTAGGTACTTGTTCTGACTGACTGTTAAGTCTAAACAATGAAGTCACTTGGCAGGCTTGAGTAACAATAAACCAGTAGTTTATTATTATTATTATTATTATTATTACTATTATTATTATTATTATTATTATTATTATTATTATTATTATTATTATTATTATTATTATTATTATTATCTCTATATTCACATTGAAGCAACCTTTTGACAGACAAAGGTCGATCGATAAACCGACAGAAATTTATCACTAAATGAAATACCATGTCTAACTATTTATTAAAATAACTTACAAGAGATCTGATTATAGTAGACTATTGACTAATACACTATTCATATATTTTAGCATTCCTTTTTTACATTAATATTAATAAACATTTTATGCTTTAAAGCTGATATATACAGAATATTGATTGTAGTTTCCTTTCTCGTATATTATTGCATTTTCTAAATATGCTTGTGTGATAATGTGCTTTTTAAAGGAGAAAACGGAATACAATAAGAGTGATTGTTTCTAATGTTCAAGCTCAAGCTTTCCAAATGATTTCAATCAGAAAAAGACTATTAACAGAATAGTTATTATTATAAGAAGTTCATTTGTTGGAGTATAAAAGGTAGGTTCGTTTTAAAAGAGTAAGGTAAATTAACAATTTCCTTTCTAGAAATCATTAGTTTTAAGGGTTTAAATTATTTTCTAAAAGTTTTACTTCAGGTATGTAATATTTAGTGGGAGTGATAACACTGTAACGAATCGTTTTCTTGTGACTTTTTGGTTAGTTAGCCTGATTGTTCATTTCGGAGTTCAATCATGCAAGAGTAATACATTGTGTACAACGTTTTTAAAGATCAAGTAATCAGTCAAATTACAACGCCATACTTTGGTCTAAGAATCTTTCGGGAGTTTCTTGAAACGTTTGAAGCATCAAATGTGGGAAGAAATTTAGAAAAATAAACTTTGCCACGAAGAAAATACGCTTCAATTAAATTGTTGATCGAATTTAAGTAATCATAATTTATCCAACTGTACATGATAATTGAACATCATACAGGATTCATACAACGAAGTACATTGAAAAGTCGTATATGGAGAACAGCTGACAGATCGATTCCAATTGAAGAGCAGTGTCAGACAAGGTTGCTTACTCTCCCACTCTCTTCGGGCGGACGACTGAATTGTGATGATCTACACATCTGAGAGGAAGCAGGTAGTACAAATGAGCAGCTTCGATGCAACTAGACGATTTGGACTTTGTAGATGATCTAGTCTCATGAGGACTGTTCCTGGATATGGCCTGTCTTTTGATCTATCGTCTTTTATCAGTACCGTTAGTTAAAATTAATCCATTTAACATTAATGTCGAATGTATTTAAAGCTAGTGTAGCTATAAGGGATCAGTAACTTGCTGTGGTGAAGTTTATCACTAACTAAATGGTAGATTTAAGACTTTACATCTCTTGATTGTTAGCTGTTCAGAGGCCGATTAGTTTTCAGTTAAAATTTCATACTACTCTTAAGTAGTTTACTTGGTTAAAGAATATTTGATTAAAAAACCTAACTGCACTTTTGATGATTTTAAGCTGTTTAATTACAAAGGCTTAATTTTCATTATTATTATTATTATTATTATTATTATTATTATTATTATTATTATTATTATTATTATTATTATTATTATTATGAATGACTTTATTCAAGAAAACGTACTCAATACAGTTAGACAAAGTATTGACACAATATAAAACTACTAAGTCTATTGACTTGTGAATTTTTCACACTATTAAAACTCCACTAAGTCGATCCTTCTGGTACATGTTCATCTTACTTCTGAAACTTGCTGAGTGTTTAGTGATCTAAACACTGAAGTTTTCATAATGTCTGTTTAAAGTGATAATAGTAATAAGTTTAAAATTCTTGATAAAAGTTTGATTAATGAATCAATCTTTTCGATCATATTAGTCCAATAGTTTTAAAGATGTTACAGGTATTCGGAGTTTGACAACACTTTCACACATAACAAATTTACAATCAAAGTATACTAAATCAATCAAATCAAAAGTCAGAAATAAAGGAGTTCAAATATGTTTTTGGAAGGCACGGTGTACCCACTCATGATCTGGTGCGAATGCGTGACCGAGCATATTCAGATAGGCGTGTCCAGTGAAACTAATGAGGTAAGAGTCAAGTGTCGAAGACTTACAGAACTATTTATTTCGGAGACTTATCTACTGCTACAGTTCTAATTTAAAGATTACCACTTCCCAAGAGACGTGAAGGGTTTTCTTGAGGTAAATTTTTATCCATGAGTCTAGGAACCCTGTTGATAGTGACTGTGAACCCTAAATATTTGGTCGGATGGTTGAAAGCTTTTGTGAAGTTTCCAGATAGTAGTTTTTTATAATCACTAGTTTCTGCGTATTACTGATGAGAAAGACCTTAGGTTTCGCTGTTTGACTGCTGAGCAGAAGAGTAAGATCCGTACTTTATCGATATCCGGAGCTGCAGATTCTTTAGTTTTCAATTTTGTGTATGAAAATTACAGGAAGAAAATAATCATCAAAGATGTTTTTGGCGTGCAGTGACGTTTATTTGAACGATCGAATCTTGTAGGTCGATGTAACCTTGATTATTATCTCTAAAAATTAGATGATTTTGAGACGTTGGCTACACATATCATTGAGCTTGGATGTGCATCGTGAAGTGAACGGTTGTCTGGAACGCTACTTCTTTTCAAAAGTAGATCAAAAAGATTTAGCTCTTCGATTTTCCGATATCGTAGATATTGATGGTACACACAAGTGCAACAACAAGGAAATACCTCTTCACGAAATATTGGCATGAGGTGCCTCCACGAACGAAACGCCAGTATCATTTGGATTTCTCGCCAGAGAAACTTCTTAGCTGGTTAGCAGGTTATTAATCTGGTCCCATTGCTTCACCTGTTGCTCCACGTCCAGTTCCTGAGTATTAATCACAATTTCCATTTAATAGAGCTGATCATCCGTATAACAACCCTAGAGAAACATCATCCATTTCCGTAGACCAAATCAACAGCTGAAACGAAGCTTTCAGAAATATAGGTCTGGATGCTACTATATCCAGTGATGGCAGTGAATGTGGGCTTGTAAAGAAAGTAGATATACAAGTGACTAATAAAATCTCTGAACCTAGTGAAGAATCTGATGATGAAAATTTTGATATTTGTGCTGGATATTATCTGTTCCAACCGCCAAGCATCAAGTAAGGTTCTGGTGAATGGGTCAGATGTTCGAAATGCAGCACATACAATCATCTTGTCTGCTCTGCAAGGATTACGAAGAGTGACCTCTTGTGTATGAAGTGTCACGGTCATGACATGTAGTAATGGGTTCTGTAAGTGGATACCATACTTAATGATACTTTTCATTATAGATAAGAACGGAAATTGAATGAAAAAGAAACAAGGCCCTTTTAAGTGCTTCCTCAACAAATTGACTTGATATTCTGGCTTAATTTTTTTTTCACTCAATGTTTTGACAGTAGTTCGCTCACTCGATAAAAATAGCTACTCAATAAACTTCCTACTAAAATCAAGTGTAATTGCCTAACATTAAGTATGTATTTCCGCATTAATGACGTTTAGATTATATATCGCTTCATTTGTGATCAGTAAGTTTCCTAGACAGATTAGTCTATTTAAGGCTAAGCTGTTAATCTCTGTCAGACGTTAAGTATGAGCTGTTCTGCGTCTAAGAAAATTGCAATTGTATCAGTCTTCTGTTTGATATGATTTTTATATTTTCAATTATATATCATTGACATCTCATTTCACCACTGAATTGAAACTAGTGATATTGTACGTACACATTAGATGAATCATTACACGACTACATTACATTACAAGATTACTTGATACATTCAACATTGAAAAGAAACTAAAATTGTATATTAAATTTGTGATGTAATTAACCATTAATTAAAGCACACATGGGTTATTCTAACTTCCGGACAGACCTATTTATTTAGTCTTCTTAAGTCACGTTTTGGCCGGGTTAATTATTCTCTCACTAACCTTAACTATTTTTATATGAGCGTAAATGTGTTAATTGCTTACCCTATTCATTTAATTTCATTTATCAAAATGAACAGGCACACTTGCCTTCTCCGTTCAGCTTCTTATTCTGAATGTCTGTTTGGACAAACGAGTGTTTGAAATAAGTTCACTCAACGTAACCCGTGCTGGCTTCTTATTACCGCCGTCATAAAAACGGGATTAGCGTAGGTAACATACGGATTTAAATGGAAGATTTATGTTCATAGCATCTTCGTACGGTCAAACTGTAGTCAGACATAAGGCTGGATTGTTTGGTCGTGGAGCTTTCATTGTTCAGATAGAAGTTTGTTTTGATGATGTCGTTCAGAAGAACGATGAAATCTCCATGACCAAACCATCCAACTTAGAGAACAAAACTCCATCAAAATCATCCACCGGAGGTACAAATCTTCTCCACCATCCCAAAACTGAAACTCTAAATTCATGGTTCAACTAACTCAAAAATGTGCATGAATAAATGTATAACTAACAGGACCACAATACAAACAACGCGAAAACTATGATCATATCTGAACTAGAACATTGGAAGTATAAGGGTCAATTTTAAATCACAGTGATTTAAGAACAAAAGATAATATGACGGTAATTTATACATGACATAAAAGCTTACGATTTATAGAATAAAGTAGGTACAGAAAGAAATGTTATTACCTCACAGATTTTGAATTAAGCGAGAGAAAAAATGACATAATCATCTGATTACCTTTGGTAACCCTTAAAGGGTTTAATATGTAATAGCTTCTTTTTACCCCCATTCTTTCCTTTTTACTATATAATTTTCATAGAATAACTTTATTTCCAAGAATATATCACCCAAAGAGTCCGCTTAAAGTTGTATCTACTTTTTCAATACACGATCTATAATAAGTACTTTAATTTTACAATAGCTATTTAATATTCCTTAAAGATATTTACCGTATTATAAATAAGTTCTTCTTTTAGATATCATGAATAGTTAGTTTAATTGTTTTGTAAAATCTGTTTACATATATTCACCAACCGATTTGCTGTTATCAGTGTAGAGTTAAGAAGATCGTTTAGTCTTAATTAAGATCATAAACCGATCAATGTTAGACCACTGCTGGAAACCTGAAAGCACTGGATTTGTTGATTTATGTTTATTCAATTCAAGTGTTATTATGTCCAAAACGTTGTCTGACAACTCTCATAAATCGAAATCAGTTCAAGATGTTCTTACATTGATAACAACTTCCTAAATTATATGCAGAGTTGGTTGGTGGCTAGTGGTGGAATCCAAGGTGTACTTTTCGTCCCATTTGTGATTTGTCAGTTGAATATACTTGCATCCCAGAGTTGATGTTCAATTTGAGACTCAAACTCAGTACTGTTTGCTTCAAACGTCATCGGGTTATCCATTTGGCTACTGTGCCCAGATATTTACTAGCTTTTACTGCCATTTCGGATTATTACTCTTGAAATGTTTTATAACAGAAAAAGCATTTTACTATTTGCCTTCTATAATCTTGTCTTTCTACTTATAATACTTAATACACTACCTGCTACGGTATTACTATTCTTTCATTTAATAACTTAGACTTGTAACTGTCATTTTGACTGACGTTTGATTGAAAGGTATATTCTTTATTAATTTGTGTAGGTCTAAATGGAAAAGTAGTTTTAAACACATTTTAACTTATTTTTCAAGCCCTAATAACCGACAGATAAATAATAACCGGCACTATAGAAAGTACCTAGTGGATTGGAACTTTTTATATGAAATACATATGTCAATTGACACAATTCATTGTATTATTATACAAATGCATATATTCACTTCAATCTCGAATTTCGGCATATTTTAATCCGTTATAAAATAATCAAAAGTCAATTGATTGAATAAAATAATAAGGCTACTGCTTCTTATAATAATTAATTTAGACCTATATTGAGTTTAAAGGTTAGAGATCCAAGGTTAGTTTTAGTTGAGAATGCAATACCGTTAACTGAATAGATCCAATATAATACACTTACCATGTCGAATTTTAGCTGAGTAACCAGCTAATATCAGTCTGCGACCAAAATTGTCTTCAAAATAAACTAACGTCTATAAAAACTAACGAATAAAAAATTATCGTGCAATCAGAAGCGACTAGCTTACACACTGATAGTCAATATATATCGAAATGGAAAATGACAACTTGACTTGTAACATAAAAAGCCTTTGAAAACCAATAATTGGCTTAGTTTAAATGTTTCAGTGAGGGCGTACGAGACAGAAAATCTCGGGTTCGAGTCTTAGGTCCGGCATCGTGGATGTACACTACCGAAGATTCCCATACTAGGTCGAACTGGCCATCCAGTACTTTCAGGTTTCCAATGGTTGTCTAACATTGATCGGTTCATGATCGCAATTTTCGTCAGTCAGGTATTATTATGACATATATATATATACCTATTAATATAATGATGAATTGATATTTATCGAGCTGATAAATATTCCTGTGTTTGAATAAGTCATTCCTTAAGAAAAACCGTATTCCACTTGCCAATTGCTGGATGCAAACCAATGTTTCGTGGTTTAGTTCTTGATGCTGATGAGATTTTTTGTGATGCAGTCACAGAAAAGTAACATTTAGGAAACTATTTGGTGTAAAGTTGTTTTTTATATGATTGAGGAGAATGGGTGAACGTAGGTTTTATGCTACTTAGTCATATATCAATAATGCATAGCTCTAAGCTCGAGTCACATTTTTATCCCCTGGTGATTTGAGAGGATGACACAGCATGACACAATATTCTGCCTAATGTTGTAGGTATTCTTTGTTGATCTGTGTCAAGCAGCTTATCTGACCATCTAACACACTTTATTATTTATTGTGTCTGGTGGTAGTCCTATGCAAATTATACGCTTTCGATCAACCATTTTCTGTTTGTCCAAGAGAAGAGTGTGAACGTGAATATCATTAAAAATACTTTTTTTATACCATTGTTAAGCCTTTTAATTATATAAAATACATTTATACAGAGGGGAATACAGAAATATCAGTATTTAAATCGTATACACATAATGTATAATGACAATAAAAATAATAAAATCACTGTGTCGTTCTCAAATAATAGTAATAATGTTAATAAGGTAGGCCTTCGTTTTATTGTGTTCGATAGACAATCATTGATTTCCCTTGGAATTGAAAGTAACTGAAGTATCCATCCAAATGTGATACATAACTGTAAAGCAAATTGAAAGATTAACTGACAGTTTGAATGAACAATCCAGTACAATATTTAGAAGCTGTTTATTAATGATTAAACCCAAGTTGATAAATAGTTTCAGGGAATACTGTTTTTCAATGAGACGGTGATGAATAGTTAATTTGCTCATGTTTATATAGTTTTGACTGTTGTAAACAAAGTCCAATTTTAAAAATAGACCTTTAAATTATGGTCAGATATTCAATGAAGTAATAATAAACAGGCTTCAAACTCGTCTTAAGTAATCTCTTTTTCACCTCCAGTCAAAGGATAATATTCACTTATTTGAATTTTAGCTTCGGTAATCCTATGTATCCCTACTAAATACATAAATTTGATGACTTCACTAAAATGGTAACAGTCCATAATACATGAAAGCCTCCTTGAGGAAAGTAAGGAACTTCAGTCCAAAATAATGCAGATAACTGATTGACAGTAAATCATAGTGAGCATGACAATGATTTTTACTAGTTATGAGGTTTCTGTCTTCAAAGTTTCTCACGTTAGAATAAGGAGAAATTCTATGGTAATTTTCATCAAGTTTCTATACTTCGTGAGAAATATTAACCTTGATTCATTTTCTTCTGAATAATCATTGGAGGTTAGATTTCGACAGATAACTATTTCAACCTTATTCAGTGCTTAAATAATACCCAAGAGCTTTAATTTTAACGGTAGATACAGTTCTCATAGACTAATAAGTGGCAGTCAATCAGGCCACATTTCAACCCCAATCAAATGGGGTTACTAAGTAATCCTTTTCCGATGTGCTAACAATGGATTTCCCTTTTACCCTTAAATTAGATTATTTCATAGGTCATGATTTCTTAGTAAGAGTTTAATATGATAATTTCTAAAATCGTAAGGAATGATGATAAGACTACTACATTTGGGAGTGCTTCATTATACGGTGATATCAGAAATTGACTAAGGTTGAAATTCCTTACCATCAGATCCCACCGTAATGGCTTAAATGGTCCATATTTAAAGCTTAACCTTGTTTAGAAACTTATGGATGGTGGTTGTTCAATGTTCAAAACTTTCCAGTGATCTTTTTGCTTAGAGAAACAGTGTTTAATACTCGAGCATTTTTGTTTATGCCTGAAAAGTGTTGGATTTAAGAACTTGTAATTAGATTCTGTAATAGAGATTTCACGTAGATGAATTATGATTCACTTTGAAAGGACTCTTGGGTTGCTGAATTATTTGAAGTTGATAAATAGATTTATTGATGTAAGGAAAATAAAAGTTGTTTCACAGTGGAGAAAATTTGTAGCTCAGGTGGATGGTTTTGATGGAGTTTTGTTCTCTGAGCTGGATGGTTTAGTCGTGAAGCTTTCATAGTTCTTCTGAACGACATCATCAGCACAAACTTCATATAGAAGTCAAGTGTTCGAATTTCTCCACATGTGGTTCATGTCTTGTTTTATAGTGTATTCTCTAAAATTAATTTAATGAATTTCTGGTTTATGGTTGGTCTCTAGTATAGGTATTATCTTAACTGGGATTCAGTGATAGCATTTATTGATCAACTGTTTTTGGGGGGATTTTTCTAAAAATGAATCCACTTTATTTCGTAGGTTCTCGTCAGCTGTTAAAACCTGTGATATTTAAAAATCATAATTACATAATGGGTTTAAATTGCTAACTGAATATTGTAAATATATACCTAATGTGAAAGAATATTCTACAACATTAATTGTGACAACAGTTCAAAAGTGGGTTAGAAACAATCGATTACATAATGAATAACATTGAAGGAATGTAGTGAGTAGAGTTCAGTTGAAAGATTATTAATTTGAAAGATAGTTGAAAAAATAAAATAGAGTTAATGATATAATAAATGCAAAAAAAAAAGAAAAATTTTTTTATGGTGCAGTGAAGGAATAGATTTGTCACCAGGGCAAGGAAAGATTAACCACCGTCTCCTTTTGAATACATAGATCACTACATTCCTTCAATGTTATTCATTATGTAATCGATTGTTTCTAACCCACTTTTGAACTGTTGTCACAATTAATGTTGTAGAATATTCTCTCATATTAGGTATATATTTACAATATTCAGTTAGCAATTTAAACCCATTATGTAATTATGATTTTTAAATATCACAGGTTGTAAGCAGCTGACGAGAACCAACGAAATAAAATGAATTCATGCTATTCTGCTAGAATCTTTGTTCTTGCTCTTTTCAAAATGATAAAGGGAACTATGTGTATAAAAAGGAATCATTAAATCTAGCTTATAAGATATACTGTAAGTTATAATGACATAATTATACTGAAAATGTATCGACAGTGTACATATGCTAAAACATATTTTTAGTAAATACAAATTACTTTGTTTATCAATAAATTCTTCCGTTAAGTTTTGGAAACCATTGATTTGATTACGGTCACATATGTATCAATTCACATACCATCTACAGTGTAATTTCATATAATGTGACCTCTCACTAAAATTTGGTATTATGTGAAAAATTTACTTGATATCACACAGCATTCTTCTGTCATACCTATTGGTTTGAGTGAATACATTTTCACTAATGATACATTGAAATTTTTCCTTTAACACATAACTTATTTAATTTACAACATTGTAACTTATTTATTAGATGTTCCATAAACTATGGTTGTTAAGTCAACCTCTTCGATATATAGTTGGTCTTATATTATACATCTGTAATAACAAAGGGAATCCTTTGAAAAAACAACTCCAATAGACAGAATTCACTAATCTTGGTTAAAAAGCAATTTAAGAGTGAACTGACACACAACTATAAGCCGTTAAACGATGTTAAAACTCAGAAATATAGTACAATCACTGATTTCTTGATGAGAATCAGAATGATAAGAAAGTAAGAAAATTCAGTAGGTCGTTTCATCGGAGCAGGTTATATAAGATGAAATGATTGTTTAGAATTGAGGTAATTCTGATAAAACTGCAGAAACATCCTACGGATAGATGCTGATAATTTTTACTGCTTCAAAATGGAGTTTCCAAATTGAACAAACAAATGGACAAAAAACCATCCATCACTTTATTTGAGTAATATATAGACCAGAATTACATGTCCACCAATGACCAATTGTCTTTTTATTGGTCTATATCAAACCGGATACATTTTTTAATAGGATAAATGATAAATCATGTATAAGAAGGCTATTTTCTGTACCAGTTTTGACGGCAAATGTTCATTTCTATCACATCACTGACAATAAACCTTTTAATAAATATATTTTTGTTATATCCCAATGGGTAGAAAAATTGTTTTCTTTGTACTATTCAAACTTGTGTTAATTTTATTCGGCTACTTATTTTCTTTGAAGAAGTGTCTTACATTAAGTCACGAAACGTCAGAAATACAATTTTTCTACTCATTGGGATCGAACAAAAAATATATTTATTGTTAACTTTCTACCCAATTTTCAATTTATTTGAAACTATCAAGTCTAAAGTTGGCATTGGTACCAGTAAACCTTATGTCTTAATATTTTGTATTATTCTATTTGAGTTTCAGTTATATATGTACAGTGTATAGTTTTATCGGTTCTTGGTGTTTTGCTTTAAATTGTTCATACTTGTACACAATTACTTTGATTTATTTGTTAATCAGTCAGTTTAACTTAAATGATATACATTAATCCATATGTTATGTTCAGTTACATTTTCTTGACAATCCTTAAATAACTTAGAAGTGAGTACTTGCTTACTTACGCCTCATACTCCCAATGGAGCATAGGCCGCTGACCAACATTCTTCCTTACTAGTCCTATCCTATTTTTGTTCATTCTTCTGATGTCTATCTCAATCTCCCGGAGTAATGTGTTCTTTGGTATTCCTCTTCCCTTGCTTTGGCCCTCAAGATTCCATGTGAGGACATTTCTTGTGACGCAGTTGGGTGCTTTCCTCAATGTGTGTCCTATCCTATTCCAGCGATTCTTCCTGATTTCTTCCTCTACTGGAATTTAGTTTGTTCTCTCCCATAGTAGGTTGTTGCTAATAGTGTCCAGGCAACGGATCTGAAGTATTTTGCGTAGACAACTGTTAACAAACACCTGTATTTTCTGGATGATTGTTACGGTAGTTCTCCAAGTTTCCGCCCCATACAGTAGAACTGTCTTAACATTTGTTGACAGTTGTTTTGAGTTCCAGATGTTCTTCAGTTGTAAATATGCTGCTCTTGCTTTACCGATCCGCGCCTTCACATCTGCATCAGATCCACCATGTTCACGAATGATGCTGCCAAGATATGTAAAGGTTTTTACATCTTCCAAATCTTCTCCGTCAATTGTGATTGGATTGTTGCATAGGAAGTAAGTGCCATTTACAAATTCATTGGTTTAACATGGAACCACTTATCATGGAGATACTGTAAGACGTTTTATTTTTGAATCGAAAATAAGACACAGTTTGAACAGCATGATTGAAATAATTTCCGCTGGTCATATCTAATCTATATTATCTAGTCAACGTTTGAAAATTCAATGTGGTGGAAAGTAAGCAAATGTTTGGTGTATATATATATATATATATATTTGTATTCAAAACAATGGGAATATGAAATAATTACAAGTTAGAAAATAAAGTCCCATTAGTAAATTACTTTATTAATCAAATACAGTAGTGACTATATTTTGCTCAAGGAAGAAATGTATTTTTACCTTGATTTCACCAATCCTCATATAACTTTTTCTGAATTCTTAAACTAATTACATCAAAAATGCACTTCTTTTAAAGTTTATTTCAAATTCAGTGATAAATTTAGTATGTAACTATGCACATGTCAACAACCATTTGTCATTTGATATTAAAAACATGAGGTTCATTGAAAGGATCTCTTTTCAACGAATTAATTGTCAAGCTTTCCAATCGTATATATATAGTTATTGATGTTCAGATTTCCTTACGGAATTAGTACTTTAACAGAAAAATTTTGATATGCTTGAATGCTATTACGAGTTCAATTTACTCGGTAAACGGAACGAAGGTTAAAGATACAAAGCTATTTTAATCCGTTGTCCCCGGCCCTGCTAACTAGTTCAAGAAGTCTTGATGGGGTTTACAGAATGTATTCTACAGGCACCATGAAAAGACGAAGTGACTAACCACACAAATCAAGCTTATTTACACAATGATAGAAACGCTCTTGGGAGAGCCACAAAATAGAATACTAAAGAAATCCGTCAACCAATGATAGTCAAGGATTTCAGAGTGGGAAATGCCAGCTGTAGGTCAGCTAAGCGTCACTTGACGGGCAAACATTAAATTCAAATTTTCAGAATAAAATTACAACATTAGGACCTTTTCCAAGTGAGTTCTGAGGATCTAACGTACTCAACAAATTCCATATATATACGATTGTACAGCTTGATAATAAATTCGTTGAAAAGAGGTCCCTTCACTGAACTTCTTGTTACTAATTTGTCATTAAAATGATTTTAAAAAATGTTAAGCAGTTAGATGTCAGTGATTTTACTGCTCTGAAGTTATATATCAAATTCAGTGATAGACAACCGAATGTCTGATTGATAGCGTTTAATTTTATCCCTAAACAATAACAGCCAATGACAAGCAATTTTTATTTACTGATATATCAGCAAATGTGGTCTGAATTTTTCTCAAACAGCTTAAAATACTCTAGAAAATGTCATGATAGTTTTATGTAATCCTGAATTGGTTAATGGGACTTGACATTGATCGATATGCAAATTATTTGTTTCTTTTTTAGTGCAGATTATTGACAAATGTGGAAAGAGATAATAAAATTGGTAAATAATATTTGTTCTTTACTTTTGAATGTCACGGTAAATGGATGATAATAAAATTAGCTATTATTTTGTAGTATAATGCTTGTTTTATACAGGGCTGTCTAACGTTTACTTTGTTAAAGGAATAGGATTTTTAAATAGTTTGTCGTGACATAATCTACAAAACAATTAGATTAAGAAAAGAATTATATTCAGTTCACTAGTTATTACTGTGACCTAATACGTAAAGTAAAATACATCGTAGATTAACTGCATATTGGGCGTAATGAACACTTAATTTATTCTTATCATGAATGGATCAATGTTAGACCACTATTGAAAATCTGGAAGGACTGGATGGGCGTTTCATCCTAGTATGGGACTCCTCAGTAATGTGCACCCATGATCTCGCATCTGGGATTCGAACCCAGGGTCGACTCAGTGGTTTAGAGGATGAGCGTTCGCGTGTGAGGCCGAAGGTATTGGGTTCGGATCTCACGTGCGAGATCGTGGATGCGCACTGCTGAGAAATCCCATACTAGGACGAAACGGCCTCCTAGAGATTTTAGGTTTTCAATGGTGGTCTAACATTGATTCATTCATGATATCAATCTCAGCTAAAACATCTCCACAACCCTTTATTGATACTTAATTTATTGCTTGTTGTCTCGTTTGACTTTTATAAGTTATTCAAATTCTCGTACACTTTTCAAGTTACTGATTAAAAAAATCTCAAACAAACGATTGAAGATAGGATTTTTAGCACATATATATTACGCTGTTTATTATTCGTACAATATCTAGAAGTTCTCCGTTCATTTAGTGAGTTAATCCTATATATAAGTGTATAATTCCCATTGAGACTTTCATTTCAAGCTCTAACTTTCACCTTTCTATTTTCTTTTCATTCGATAAGTTGGGATATACTAAGTCAGTTGTCATATAAGACAATATATAATTTAGTATAGACGATTAAAATGAAGTCTTCATTAAAAATTGCCCTTTTGTGAAGCCCTAACACATTAAGTGAACGAAAAAAAATGTGGATGAAGATACCAGCTATTGCTTTTTTTTATTGAACAATGGAAATGGATGATTATTATCATACAACAGTCGACATAGAAAACCAACTTCATATTAAAGCAATATATATATTCATTGTGTAATTTATCCATACTCATTACTAACTTTTACTCTACCTAATGTTTAAGCAGTTATTTCCAAGTTAAACATTCAATTCAATAGTTAGTTTTGTTAATTACGTGAAAACAAAATTGAAAAATTTGTTTTCCAACACTAAGAACCGAATTTATTCAAAACGTTTTTTCAATAGCTGAGATTATGAATCAGTTGAATCTAGACCATCATGGAAAACCTGGAAGCACTGGACGGCCGTTTCGTCCTATTATGGGTCTCCTCAGCAGTGCACTTTCATCTCAACTATTGAAATTACGATGATATTCACAAAAAAACTCTTTTCTGATATTAATCAAAAACGTTTCATTAATTGAAATGAATAGTATAGTTATTAATAATTGATTATTATTACAGACAACAAAATCATTACAGAATCTATAATACGGCCTGCTTGAGCATTTGGGCTACCTGTTCCTGCCATCTAGATATTTCAACAAGTTATCTATTTTTGTTTGTTTTAATATATCATTATGTTTATCAATCGCATAACCTATTCTGCTGCGTTTCTGAAAAGTGCGCAACCTTTCGTTGTCAAAGTTACAAAAAACTCAATAAGAGACAATGTTGTTGCTGGCAATATATAACGAAAAGAATGCACATTATTCAGATGTTCATTTATTGGACTGTTAACATCTAACTGGCGATCACTCAATATTTATCGTCAGGACCGACCAAGAAGAAAGAAACGGAAACTTGTTAAAATACTTTACGCTGAAAATTCTATATTGTACCAAAAATATAATAGTGAATAAAGGTGATAATAATAATAATATTACTAAATTAAAAGAACACCTCAGCTTAATGATTAAATTCAACTAAGCAGGATAAATAATCGATGAAAAACGTTGTTAACAAATGAACATTTAATTTATAAACGATATGTGATTATATAATTATTACGCAACATATCCACTCGATGAGTATTACTTCACTATTGTAAATCAACAGTTTTGTTACTTGTAGTAAATCATAATATTCATAGTATCATAGTATTCTTTAATGTCAACTGGTGATAATCAGATTTCATTAATAAACTATTAAGCAAAAGTGAAAAGTAGATAAATAAATCTGTTGCAAACTTTTATCTCATACTTCATGACAGACTGATCAATTGCAGTTTTAAACCTCAGTGGGAAGATACAAGCCCCGTTGCACAAGCAAGTGGCTATCAGGACTCAGTAGCTGAGTGGATAACGCGATGGCGTTTGAAGCGAATGGTACTGGGTTGGAGTCCCAGAGTGGACATCAAATCTGAGATGCAGGTACATCCAGCTGAAGAGTCCCAAATAGGACGAAATGCGCGTCCTGGATTTCACTGCTAGCCAATATCCATCATTGCTCACAAAAAGCTTGTGAATTAAGGCAATATCGAGGTATACGCACAGTATGCACATATGGCAATAAGAGACTGATCAATTACAGTCTTAAACCTCAATGGGAAGATACAAGCCAAACAATACCAAGTGAAGTTAATGACTATATATCTAAGATTTATTACAAATTAATGAATTTCACTATGAAAAACATGACAGAACTGGGGGGATTTATGAATTAAAAACTAGTAAACAAACATTTAATGATCTAGTCAAATATAACGTGGATATGAAGTGGTAATTTTAAGTAATAAATGTATATCTCGGATAGAAGTTTGATAAATCTTTTACTGTATATAAATCGTTAATAACAATATAAAGATTATTATCAGTAGATCTACACTTCCATATACGCGCTACTAAATATAACCATATATTGATAACAAATTCTAAAATTTCCACCTCTATGTTATCAGATTATAATTTTTGGGAAAGGAATATGTTATATCCGGACGAAGAATAATGAATAATAACTGTTAAGATCTATGTATGCACTGTTATTATATGTATTGTTATTTGTAGAACCATTAAGTAACTATATCGTTATAAGCTTCCGTTTGACCTATTGACTACTATTATTCCCAAGTTTTTAGCTACAGCCTCCCACCTCCACAGCCACATTTTGGTTTGATTTTGTTTAATTATTATTTTCTGTTTTATGGTATGACGCGGTCTGGTTTGTTTGTATATAAACCCAGTATAACTGAAAATGTATGATTCATATAACGGAGGCTGATATTTACGGTCTGGAATGAACTGGATGGGTTAGCCGAGATGCTTCTATATCAAAAGATCATAAAGAACTATAGGCGGCTTGCACAATTTTATGCGTTATTGGTCTGGTCGTATAAGTTGGTGTCTCTAATTGACGATATTGTCTTATGGTATATTAACAGGTCCCAAGCCATAACAGAATATCTTAATATGTACAAAATAGTGCAAAGTGTAAAATTCATTAAAAAACACGGTATTTTCTGGAAAGTTGTGTAATCTTTGGAACTTGCAAATCCTAGGCTAACATTTCACGAAGAAAGAATGTTTAGGTTCTGCCTCAAGAAAAGAAAAACCAAGTTTGAATATAGTTAATAAAAAATCATTTTATTGATTATCACTGTACTAAGACTTACCATCCGAAATCCTTGCCTAACACACAATGCCAAACACCACCATCATATTTATCCATATGTTTCTTCACATAAGCTGCAATATCTCTTTCTTCATCATACTGTTCCGTAGCTACTACACATGTGTCTACAACAATTTTCTGTAATGGTCCTTGCATATCAGTAGATTTCATTAATGCACGACGATTTTCCATCTTGTTGATTCAATAAATTCCTATTTTTTAATTTTAGTTCTGATATCTGATTGTGAATACTCTTTATAAATTGAATAGTTGCCAAAGGCAGTAGTACTAGTAGTACTAGTTCTAATAATCCGTATTGTATTGAAATGAATTACTTTACTTTCATACAACAAATAGTTGTTGAGTTCACTATCAAAGAAAAGAAACAAGAAAAAAGAAAAGAAAAAAAAATGGCCTTCTTAACAAATTTATGTGCATCTTATTTTATTCTTTAAGTTTATAGTTACATAAAAATTCAAAAAAAATTTTTTTCATGTTATCTCTTCACTATTATTCCAATCATCCAATCGAAATCAAGATGAGCAATGTGTATCTCTTTCTCCAAATACGCGTGTATGTGTTTATCTGGTTATGTAGAGGATGTTTTCATTTACATTTACAATAGCTACACCAAAATCGATTCTTACATACCACTCACTACCCAGTTAAACAAACAAACAAACAACAACAACAACAAAAAACATTGATTTATAGATAATAAACATCAAAGTAGTGCACACAAGAGTTCAACCATGTTGACCGAGTAAGTGGAATGTTAAATTACTAAAAATAATGATGTTATTTTATATATTACTACTCATTTAAATGGTTTTACAATTATAATTGATAATTTGTACAATTTAAAGAAATTTTTGTCTATTAATTAGAATCAGTAATGAATGCAATACATAACAAATTGATAGGCTATTTCTATGGAGGTTTTTATAAACAGATTGACAGATATCCAACATAATGATGATAGCATTCTGGTTGTTTTATTAAGTTTGATTTGGTTTGATTAGCAAGAGAATAGTAGATTGATGTTATGAAAATATTGATTAATCATGCGATAGTCGTATCATTGTTTCTAAGATTCTTGTCTTTATTAGTGTTTTCAGTGAACGTCGTAGTAATATATTTACCAGTGGTCGGTCATCTTCCACATTGAATATGTTAGCCAATTCGTATTCAGAAAATATAAACTTCATAAAATAGGTTTATCCCATTTAAATGAGATTTGTAACACTAACTGTAGACTTATGAAGGCAATCAGGATTAATTAATGGAATTGTAGAAAAAAAGAGCGTGTCAAGATAGTAAAATGAGTAGGTAAATATCAATTGAATTTAAAAAAAGAAAATAAATTAGCCTTTTTCCTGAGAATACTATCGACAGTTCAGTCACATGTCACCACTCACTTCAGCGGTACAGATACTAAAAATGGAACGATATAGAGAAGATTAGCATGGCCCCTGCACAAAATCGTGAAGCGTTCCATATTTTCCACACTCCATTCTCACCTCCCAAATCCACACTACCTGTCACAACCACTCGGTGTGGTGGTTGATGCCACGGAGTTTACTCATGTTCCATCCTCCCTGATTCACTAACAGTGGGCTACACGTTCAATCCTCAGAGTGACCGCAGACTGACGAGTGGTGATCAGTGAGCGGGTGGTGACATGTAACTATCGACAGTTAAACGAGATCTATTAAGACAATTGTGAAAAATCAGATTAGCATCGGCTACAGATTATTTATGTATATTAGTGTATATACCAAAAAGTCCTTAAAACAATATTTCACAAATGAAAGGATCGCAATTTTATCCTACAAATAGTTGGTGTTATTGACAGGAAGTAGTTTAATTAGCGATCATAATCTCAGGTCTCTATTAAGTGAGTTTACAATGATTCTATTATAAGTTTTGATTATTACTCTGATGTGAACTGGGTAATCCCACTGGATAGTATACTCTTCTATGGAACTAATCAGCATGAATTGTTAAATCACTTTTACATCATAATCGTGAATTAAAATGTACATAAATACTTTTTAAAAATAAATGATCACATTTACGGGCTATCTATTTTCTGGTATTCTTACCACTTGGTGAGATAAAGTAATGCGGAAAACAGTCGTCGTTTTTCTCGAATTGTAGGTCGTTAGTAATACCAACTGGCAACGACATATCTACTATATTCTAATTTTGTTCTCGCTGTATGATCTTAAATGTTTTCTGCAGCTTCAGAGTCATCAGTGTGAAAGAGTTCATCGGAAGATCTGATATGATGGAAAGAAAAGTCAATTTTCGATTAATTGGCTCATTATGAGTTTTGTTCAACATCACTTCCGTTTTGATTCAATGTAGTACTTGTTTTTTTCTCATATGATACTTTATTCTGTACGATATGCGATTTTCTTGTATTCCATTGACATGAACTATGCTCAGTATGTGATTTGTTATAAATCTAAGTATTTTTCAGATATGTGATTTCATCTTAATTATTAGTCAAAATGGATGTACAATCAACATATAAATAAGTGTATTTTCGACTAAAGTTATCGTCGACGTGTTTTGGGGTTAATAAATCTTCACTTATACCAGTCTTTGTGTTCTTACTTTCACGTCGTAGGAATTCCAGAGGTCCCTCCTTCCGAGTATAAGTGATAAGCGTTTCCGAGATAACAATCAGCGACAACCAGATACAAAAAGTAGCATTAAAAGAGCCAAGACAACATGTATTCAAACGACAAATTATTAGAAGTTTATTGAATCACTGACATAAAAAAATTGTCTAGTTAATTTATTTATACATATCAACCAGATAATTTTGACATTATTGTTTATTCTGTCATTAAGGAAAATTCAAAATACTTTTGAAATATTTAAGGTTGATTTTCAAAGTACAATCAGGTAAATTTGTTGGTATATAAAATATTCTCAAACCTTCCTATTGATGGAGTAACTGGTATCATTCTGTTTTCCTGTTGTGCATGTCACAAGGTTGTATGTTGACGTATTTAAACAACTGATCATTATATTTTAAACCTTTATGAAGACATGCTAAAACTGACCGTAAACATTTATTGTTTATTTCACAAAACAAGAATTTGATTGTGTTTATTAGGCTATAAGCCAATATGATTTACATTGATATCAGCAATATCTCAATCATCTTCACAATCTAGTTGAACTAGTCTACTCTGTAATTACAACATTGATTGCGTCAAAGAACCAATTGAATCAGCAGGATCTTACTGATGTTTCTTTTTTCTCAGCAACTAAATGTTAAACATATTTCTTCTGAACTTTCTAATTCTTTTTTTATCTTAATGTTTATGGTTTACCTAAAAGTATTATAAAACAATGGTTCTTCAGTGATGAATGAATTCTCTTTATTTTTTTCTGGATAAATTCAAAATCAATGGAATACAAGTGAACATTTGGTGTTTTCAACAAGCTTTAAATAAGGTCATACACTATTGTGTTTCACTATAGTTTAAAAAAAAAGAAGATTTAATGAAATGTTTTTTTCTCTCTGTTCTCACAGAAAGATTTTACTTAGTTGACCAGAAATAAAACCGTTATTTTTCAGAAACCATCGGATAAACTTTGTCTATAGTCTTATGCCCTACTGGCTTGTCCCATTGTGATATATACTTCCTATGGTATATCATGCCCACTATATGAATGAGAAAACTATTGAAGTAGGAATGTTTGGTTTACAAACTGAATTATAATGTATACATATAACAGATATTCATATATTTGTCCTCTGTGACTTAAATGACGACATGTAAGCTGAGATCTTGGCTAGGGCATAGTCTATTTCCTTAGATCGAAATCCTTCTACGTAATGTCTTACCTATAAATCAAATTTAAGATATCCATGAATTCATTGGATAATGAACAGAGTAAGAATGAAAGACATATTGGTATTTACTAAAAGATTATTAAGTAATCACGGTATGAGGCAATGTATTCACTGTTCATAAATACTTCAAAAAGTTCTAGAATTCGGATAAGTAAATGTATGAGATTTGGTTATGTGAAGATATAATATTACCGCGTAAGATTGGATCACGAAGGAGATCTAGGATTCAACCAATCAGCCGTTCCACGTTACCTAGCTTTCAACGGTTCGTCATAATATGATTACTTTACTTTTTTAGACATGTTAAAATCACTATTAACCAAAGATGACTCAAGTATGATTTATGTTGTAATCGTTTTTAAAGTATTGATTATTTTATTATTCCATCATTTTATGTAGTACTGTAGTGAACAAGAACACCAGTATGGACAATCTAATGTATGTGACACGAAATTACAGAGCATCTCAATAAAATACCGAGCTATTGCATGTTCCAAAGAAATTGAGGCTGCGAGGGACTTCAGCCCCTATCTCCGAACCATATAGTAAATCGTTAATTTGCAAAATACCAATCCATTGTCTTAAACTTGACTGTTCCTGTTGCAAACATCAATCCATTGTCTCAGATTTCATTGTTCATACATTTTCATACCAATTGCGTTCCGTTTCTGTTCACTTCACATCAACTTTCTACTGAAATACGTTCGATGCCTGACTACCGTTATATAGTACTTGTGTGGATATAAGTAACCCACACCACAGTACCACACACTTGATAAAAATATTTCAGTTATTTTCTGCTTATTTAAAAGTCCTTAAAAGCTTTAACTAGTGTACAAATAATTTTTGCTTTCAATCATCTTAGCTCAGAATATACTTTCATCTAAGAAATTCATTTTCTCAGCTCCAATTACTTTTGACTTTCAATTTAGTGAACTGTGATAATAGTCTATTACTTTGATTAATTTACTCATTTATCAGCGCTTATGAGCCATAATGCTAAGGTATTGTCTAAATCGGCTGTTATTTCCAATTATACTACCTGGTACATGATAACAATATAACCAATATGTTGATTATGATTTTCTATGAAGTTCTGGATATTCATTGTTGAAGAGTTTCAAGCTAGAACAAAACAGTTGTCCAATGCTTCCTGGTTTTAAATAGATCTCCATCTAATTTTATACCATGAAGTAAACTACATTCAAAAAGGAACTAATTATATTTCCTTTGTCTTACCATATACCCTTTTTCGAATCATTTCCCTGTATTTACTTTTTTTATACAAGTTTGTTTTGTTTTTGAATATCAGATAACAAAAAGAATACAGTTGCAATTTGTTCTTCAAACTTATAAAAAATCTATAAAATACTTCAATTCTGGTAATCATAACATACTTATATGGCAAGAGATTTTCTGAGATTCGCTTATGAATTATTACTCTCATTCATTGGAAGAACTATTTTCAAGATTGTTGAAACTTGTTAACACCACATATATGCTAGAAATAATAAAGATCGATTGTTTTAGAATCTTTAAATGTTCAATTCTGCAAAAACAATATCGGAATTGTACAAAGTTAGATGGCTTATAGAGATTGTTCAGTTTGATCAAAGTGGAATGCTACCACTACTCTAATTGATCCGATATCACGCCGACCATATTTTGATTTTTGGTGGTTGGAGGTAGTTGGCAGGAATCTTTTCTATAGCAAGGTGTAGTTGCAGTCTTACGGTAACTGATTTTACCTATGAAGTGTTACGATTTAAGGGTTTACCACAACTACATAGATATTTTTAAATATAACTCATCATGAAATTACAAATGTGTGTACATGACTATCCATCATTTGTGATGCGTTAACGTCAGTGGTATCAAATGGCTAATGGAACCTAAGTAACTCAATGCAGTAAAGGGAGCTGTGGAGATTTTAGTACTTTTAACAGTTGAATTCACGAGTTTATCTAAGACAGATCACACTTGAAAACCTTGTGTCACCGGACTGTCATTTCGTCTTAATATGGGACCCACGTTCCTTCACTAGGGGCTCGAACCCGGGACCTTCGGTCTTGCTCGTGGACGTTTAACCTCAATACCATTGACCCGGTATTCAACGGTGTTATTGTCTAACTTCAATGGTTTAGCTTAGATCGACTTGTGAATCCAATTGTTAAAAGTACTGCGATCTCCACAACTTCCATTACTGATAATAACTATGTACTCATTAGCTTCAAGATGGATTTCCTGGGGTTCTAGTGAGAAGACATGACCATTAGTGTCCAATCAATGTCGGGTATGAGATGGTTATTCACCTCAGACAACAGATCATGGGTCCATTGAAGTTGGACATTAGTACAGTTACATACCTGCATTCCGGTGGTCGAATGTTCAAAGCTTGAACCACGAAACCATCGTATGACATATAAATCTGATGCCCAGTAGCCACATACAACAATGTGTACAATGGGCTTTAAGTCACCCTTTATGCATGTTACTTGAAAAGAAAATAACGACTAAAGCTAAATTAAACTATAAATTGGATGTGGATTCATCTGAACAGTTTTGAATTAATTCACATATTATCATAACATCTTATTTAAACAGCAGTTAATTAGAGCAATATGCATTTGACCAAAATATTTAAATTATGTTTTTGATTGAGATCATGAATCGATTGATGTAAGACCACCATTGAAAACCTGAAAGTACCGAACAGTCATTTCGTCCTATTATGTGATTCTTCAGTAGTGAGCATCCATGATCCCTCTCTCGGGATTCAAACCCAAGTAATCAGAATTGATTAACTCAAGTGATATTAGTCAGGGCTGTCCACTCTCTCCATTCTTGTTTAACTTTATCGTAGAAGTGCTTTTAGAGATGACACTTTCCTCATCTAAATTTTCAGGGGTTGAACTTCAACCGGGAGACTCACTTGTTGACTTGGAATATTCGGATGACATAGTTCTATTTGGTGAAGACGCTGACAGAATGCAGTCTTCTGACCATTATAAGCAACAATGTGAGTATGTTTGGGATGTGATTCTCACTCTCGAAATGCAAAATGTTACTTTAAGACTGGGTTGCATCGACACCTGAATTAACAATAGGGAATGAAGTAGTTGAGCGTGTCGACCGATTCACTTATATTGGAAGTCTCATCAGTCCTTGTAGTCTGGTGTGTGACGAAATCTCAGCACGGATACAGAAGGTTCGACTAGCTTTCGCCAACTTGTGTCATTTATGGCATAGGCAAGATATCTGTCTATCAACCAAAGGACGTGTTTACTGTGCAGCAGTTCGTTCCGTCCTACTTTATGGCAGTGAAACATGGCCGGTAAGAGTAGAGGATATTCGTGGGCTACTAGTATTCGATCATAGGTGTCTTAGTAACATTGCTCGTATATCCTGGGACCATCTTATTTATTTATTTATTTGAACACATGTATATTGGTACAAGAGAGCGCCAATATATATGCGCTACACGAGTAAGTAATGCAGTTGTTAGAACACAGGTACTAGGTAAGGATGGCAAATCAGTTGATAAAGTAGTGAAACTTCATCAGTTGCGATAGCTGAGACACGTGTTACGTATGCCCAATCACCGACTACCTCGACGTGCGATGTTCAATGGTATAGGAGTAGATTGGAAGAAAGCTAGGGGCGGCCAGATACAAATTTGGCACAAGTCCATGAATTCACTGACAAGCGGACTGAATCACGTTGGTAGGTGTAGACTAGTTAGTTGGGGACCGCAAGATGATAGCGACCGGTGGTTAGAGACCCTGAATGACATGACTCAAAATCATTTGCAATGGCTCGAGTGCATCCCTTCTTTGTGTTCTCCCAAATTCTAATCGTCCGAATTCTTCTTGTCGTTTTTTTCTCTTTCCAACTTTATCTCATTGTATTATACTTCTTGAATAACATCTCCAAACCTTAATCTTTCCAATTACTGCTTATACTCTTACTACCACTACCACTAAGAGATTTGAATCGACAACTGCATCTCTGTACTAATGTGGTAAAGGCAACTCGAACTGATGCACGTACATACGAAGTTCTATGTTATTACTGATTGACTGAATGATCCAAATAATGATCTAACATCAATCAATTCATGATCATAATCAAAAACTTAATTATATCTCCACAACTCTATATTAATATTTAAAATGAATTTATTTTCTTTAAAAATTAAATATAAAAATTAAAATAATTTAAAATGAGTATAAATTCAAATATTCATTTATCTATTTGAATTATTATTATTATTATTAAATGTACTATGATACATTCACCTTTTTATGATAAATGGGTTAACATAAATAAACTTATTCAAGATTTAGATATAAATCAATCAAAGTTCTTGATAGATTAGTAACCAATGAAATAAATGAATTATGAATTGAATATTCTTTTTTTTTTAAATTATATTTTTGGATAAGATAAAGTATTAAAACGTGAATTAGTTGGATTATCAAAATCATCATCATTATCATCATCATTCTTGTTTTGTTTATCTAGATTATATGTAATTTCAGAATCTTTTATATTCCAATTTTTATTTGAACTATCAATATAACTTAATGCTGATTGTGGTAAATCAGGTATATAACGTGGTTCTGTATAATCATTTGGTTCATTAAATGTAGAATGATGTGGTACTGAAAATGGTGGTGAACTAATACCCATTTTCTCTTCATTATTAAGTAAATGTTCATTTGTATTCTGTTGATGAATTAAATCATTTAATTTAATATAAGTAATAAAACTTATTGTAAAACTAATAAATGTACAAATAAAACTTAAAACTCCAACAGCATAAGCCCATGATAATATATTCAATTCAGGATAAGGCATCCAACGACTATCATATCTAGCTACAGCAAAAGCTACTAATGCAGCAGCTAATGTTAAACCTATAATTAAAAAATAAAAGGGAAAAGAAACGCAATTTTGTTATAATCAAGGGAATATATTGGATAGATAAATGAACATCACATAAAACCAACGGATTAGCTGCTACGTTGATGTAGTGGTCGGTCTTGCCAATCATTATGAACCGATCGGGCTATACTGGTTGGAACAATCGTTCCTCAAGGTTCTACTATGCCAGACAGGTTGGTTGAAAAGCAGTAAGACTAAAAGTAGCAAACCCAAGGTCCAAGGGTGACATCGTACTACTGACTGTACAGAGGTGTGACAGCAGTAGGGCGTTTCCTCCAGACAACTAGTATAACAATGATGCTGACTTCCTACAAGAAAGAGTGGGGTTAGAAAAAGTCAACCTCGAAACTGCACACACCTCCCAACAAGTATGGGGCTACCAAGAAAATTACTCACTAAAAAGTCATGTGTGACCGGTCTTAAGCAGTTGTCGCTTGGGCACTGTATTCACGCTCTCAGGTCACTAAGACCAACTCCAATCCAATTTTCTTTGCAGGAAGCACTAGAAGAACCCTTCCACGGTGTCGGGAACCGAGAAATGAAAACCGCCCTCATATCTCTCACAGCATTAAAGATCACTATATTCATGGTTAATTCCCTTATCTCTCTAGATTAGTTCTAATAACAAAATACCTGTAGTTCTCTAGATTTAGTACACATAGATCTGATATTGACTGAAGTTAATCATATACACTACTGTATTTTTATTCTCTAGTATAAGAGGGTAATGCTTACCTCTAAGTGCATTTGGAGCTACGAGTATTCGCTGGTGAAAAAAGTGTCTATTGCCTTCTGTTTTTCACTGGTTGTTAGTTGATGTGAATTCATAATAAAACCTATTCGTTATACAGTAATAAGTTATGATTACGGTAAAGTTGGTTTGTCAGCGTCTGGATATTCATAGTCTACTTATGTTCTGTAGTCCCATGAAATCATTAACACTTTTCTAACGCATAAACAGTCAGCTATGTAAAAGCAAGAAACTTATAACTAATGGGAAGTTTCAGTGTCAAAATCTAAACACTTGCATTGCTAACTTAGACAGGAGAGTGTAAACTGTGACTTCGACTTGATGAATAATTTAGTTGGGTACAAATTGACATTCTTTTTCTCTCTTATGTATATTAAACCAATGGGATAGCATATAATCTCTTCAAACCTGCTCGGTTTACCACTGTCTATTTCGGATCTCAACGGTTCAGGACAAAATTCGGTAAGGGGAATAGTTAGCTAGCAAGTACTGGAAACATTCAGTGGTAAAGGGACTCTGCACCCAACAAATAGGCAACAGATTCAAACTGCGCTCTATCTACTTTGGACATTACTGCCAAGAACCACCGCTAGCCGTCAAACCTGGCGTTTGACTAAAATCCGAGTACAAAAACCTGTACTTGGTGAGTTACACTGATGAAGGTGAAGGCAGTTTTATATTGATAATTTTAATATACTCTGCGATGTAATAGTATCTAACATACAATACCGTGAGTGTTATATCTAACAAGCGAACTAATTTTAGAAGGTGATTGGAGGTAGTCAACAGGAAACCCTGAACCCGGGTTTCGTGCTACTTGGCATTCGATCTGCACTAATAAGGACTAGACAAGCAAGACATTGATCACCACCCAGTGATCAATCAATTGTAATAAGCGAACTAATGTCGCTTGTCATCATCGGCTATTCTGGCTTTTAAAATACGTCTTCATATCTAAATTAACAGAGAGATGAAGCTTGAATGTGCTACTTAAAAATGTAGCAAGGTTTTAAAAAGCAACTACGATGAGCCTGACCAGGTTTCGTGTTTGTTGGAGCTTGCCAATAAGTTGTATTTATAACATTCAGTTGATCGACATTTCCACGAAGATTCAAACTTATCCACTAGTCCTGTGGTTAAGTCCCTCATCACTCATACACACTGACTATTTTTTCGTCAAAGCTATTCATATTTGTTCATCACATATTCCTTCAAATAGTCAGCAGTGAAAATAATTAAGTCTTCGTTTTGTTTATATTGACAAGGGTGAGTGAAATAATTTATGCTAAATTCATAAAAAATTATTTGAGAAGTTGTAGAGACAACACATTATTAGTACACTATATGAAACGTGACAAAGAGTAATTAAATATTGATGTTTATTTCTCAGCTATAACTTAGTTTCATAGATATTGAGAGATTCTAAACTATGTGACTCAACACTTAGGTAGACAACAGAATCCAACCACCTAATGATCCAATAGTGTGTTCATTTATACACTATAACCGTAATGTAAAGTTTATTATAGATGGTTTTAGGAAATCCATAAATAAACATGTACTATTTTAAGTTCACATCGTTTTGAGGTGGATGTAGAAAATACGGCAATACGAGGTGTGATAACAACTGTATACATCGACTTAACTTGTATATTTGATTGGATATTTAAACTGTTTTTCTTTATTATTTGTTTTTAGAAGATAAAAATACTTGGGTAGTAAATGATCAACTAGTTTTCAGTCTCTAATTTTAACAGGTTAACAATTCAAACAACCCAATTTATACATGTGTTTTGAAATGCTTTATAAATTTGAGTTTGTAGTTACTCCAGTGAATAGTTTCGATGTGATCATATGTTAGCACTCAAGACAATGGAAGTAATCTGAAAGACTAGTTTGACTTATTTTTACTACACAAAGCAAACTACTTACTATTATGTAAGTATATACTATCAAATGAACGAAAAGTAAAATATGTGTAAAGGAGTATTATGGCTTTCGTATTCATGTCTATTCGACAAAATAATTAAGAAACAAAACATTACGTTGTTAAGAAAGCAGATCAGTTACCCAGCGTTCATCATAGGATGAGGGCTGAATGAAGAATACGTTAGAATAATTTATGTGTATTTACGTTTACTTTGAAATAACATGCGAATACATAAGATGCGAATTCACGAGCGATAGTAAAATTACATACTATTTTCCATCTCTAAATCAAAAACGGTTAATGGGACAAATATATATCGATTAGCCAAAAAAACAGTTTTTATGGCTCGAAGTATTTCATACAGTTTAGGAAATGAAGTTTCACGATTGCTAAATATTCTCTTCAATATAGGTATGACATTTAAGTTAATGAACAGCGATTATAGAATTAGTAGTAAAACAAACAATTAAGAGAAAGCTGATGAATAATGGTATTGCCATCAACCAAACGAAAAGAATTATCAATTGCCACATTATTTGAATATATTTATTGTTCTATACATTAGTAAATAGCAAATGTTAATGAAAGTATGCTTGTTGATCGATTTTGTTATACTCGATTAATTGACATAATCATAAATTATAGTCGTAGAGAAGCCTTAATAACAAAGTCGCCGAGAACAGATCTTTCTCTTGGACTCAATCCTTGTTCTCAGGTTAAGCTATATTCATTCAAATTTACTCTCTACACATAATTTGGAAAATGTATATTTAGTTTGGCTTAAGTATGCTACACTTAGGGCTAGTAATAAAACAATAATATCTTTGCTCATATTAACGTCGTGGTTTCAACTTCATTTATTTTTATTTAGGTCCTTTATCGCTGTTCAGTGCTTCTAGGTTTTCAAAGATTGTTTTATTTAGATCGGTATGCGATTTCAGTGAAATTCAGCAATCTTTACAACAATATGCCGACAATTCCTACATTACCTAAAACTAATTAACGCCAGTTTTCCCAAACATAAAAGTCGCCTACCTTTCCAATTGCACAGATATTCCAGATAGACTGCTCTAATCTTGTTTGAACTAACAAAAGTACAACCTTACTCGTGAGCTACCATAAAAGGGTTACAAGGTACTGTGATGGTGAACGCAGTTCTTGATAAGTCTTCATTTTTTCTCATTTCTTCTTTAACATAATGTGGAATATATTTAAGCACCGGTAAGACTATATTTTATGGATGATATTTGAGCAACGCTAAAATAACCTTGGAATGTTCACCTACTCAGTAGGGTTGAATGAGAGTCATATATTAGTATGAGGAATTGGGATTAGGATTTACAGTTGAACGTTAGAGTTAGGAATTAGATTTAATGTTTTCATCACGAACTGACATCAGCTATAGTGCCGAAATGATATTTAGTCGAATGAGTGAATTAACTTTGCGCCAAAATGAAAGATCTGCTATCTTAAATCTGATCGGTTTATCCATAAATTATAGTCTTGTCTACAAGTAGAAGATACTGACCTCAGTATGAAGTTATATCATGAAGGAATTTCGGCAATTTCTTGGCCAATTAAAAAACAGCTTTATTAAGTTGATAGTTTAAAAAAACAAAACTACTATAGTCATTAAAAAGAAGAATATATTTGTAAAATCTCAGCGAATGAATTTTAAGTAAATCCAACGTTTCGCCTGGCAATCTGGTCCAAGCTTTTTCAAGGAAAATATAATCAAACAACAAAATTATCGAATATAAATAGTGTTAACAGATTTTACCTAATTAATGGAGCTGTTGAAGTTATCGACTATTGACTCAGCCTGTAACTCAAAAAAGCAACACGGTATAAACTTAGTCTTACGGATATAGATTATCTGTCTTCCATAGCCTTATAAGGATTCAAATACATTTTTAAGTATCCTCATACAGTCATCGATTAGAGTCAGAGTCAAGGATTCAGAGTTCAGGTTTTCATCACCAAATGACATCAGTTATGGTGGAATAATGTTTCATAGCTTTATGGTCGAGTAATTTTCACTCAAAAATTTAACAGCACTTATCTTAATCTGACTGGTTTATTCATTGCAGCTAATCTACACTTTGTTTCGGCAATAAGAGCTTACGATCAAGATATGTAGTTTGTTTTTTATTAGCTGTTGCATACAACCTGTAAGGAATAATTTTGTGTTATCATCTCAAACATTCTGAGCACTATACAAAGGTGATTCTACTGCTTATTTAACATTCATTTTCGAAGTTCGCATCAAAATCTAACAATCGTTTTTATCAACTTTGATTGACTTGTCTCTATACTACACTTTTACCATAATTATTAAAAAACATCCTTAAAATACGTTTGGATTATTTAAAACTTGAATATACGTTGAAGCGATATTTATTGTGATAATGCGCAACTACCGCAGAGAATTCTTTACTGTACAAAAGTTGATCCTATTGAATAAATCTATCATTGGTACTACTGTTGTAGTATGTACTATTGTAGTAGGATATATCATCAACCGAAAGTGAAATGCCTGGAGGCAGAAGATTAAGAAAATAAAACGAGAATAAAGAATGTTTAGTGTGGAAACAAAAAGACAAAAAAATGTCTGAAACGATTGACTGATATTTGCAAAGGAACAGTCAAGTTTGAGACAATTGATTGATATTTTGCAAATTAAATATTGACTGTACGATCCTCAGATTTTACTAAGATATTCCGTAATTTTGTGTTTACATACATTCGATTGTCCTCAATTATGTTCTCGTTCACTACACTATAACTTCATTCTTACAAAATTGAATTTCTCCGTTTTCAACTGAGAATACTTCGAAAGTTTGTTAAAAGCTAAACACAACTCTTTTACATCTTACGCTTGGAACAAACTTTGTGCAATTTCACTAACATTTAAACTGTTTGGATAGATATTTTATTTTAGTTATGGAGTAGTCAAAAAGTAGTGTGATGTCAGTGAAACTGCTTTTCTAAGTTTTTTTCATAAAGATATACCGAATGAATACACTGACAAAATTACCTAACCTTTCTCAACCTGTGGTTCCTCAGTTACACTCTATCACTGCATCTTCAGTAAATAACTTCTTACTTCATTTCATATCAGGAGAATTCCTGACAATACAAAATGCAAGTTGGATTATTTCTAATGACATAATTATTAGATCAGTCTTCACAAAGCTATTATGAATATATCATTTCAGAGTTCTGGCATTTGAAAGCATATGTACTTTTCAGTAACTACAATTTCAATTCAAAATTAAATCCTTCCTTTGATCACTTACTGCAGTAAATAGTGTAACTATACCATAACCTCAAAACATACAATACTTACCTTTACATGTTTGGTTAGTTAAGGCCAATAAATAATTATAGGCATGAATATCACAGATGTTAACAGTTTTAAAAAAAACTTTTTTCAACAGAACTCTATATTTTTACCGGATAATAAATACTTTGTATAAAATTACGCGTTTCTACAAGCTACTGTGATAGGATTTTAAGGTTATATTTCACCCAGTTAATAATATGACCCATTTAGTTCACTCTTCTCATTGAAGTCAGTAGGTGAATAAAATGAGTACAGATCAGTAGTTTACTTTTCTCTAGTTTTTAAATAGCCCTTCAGATCTTACGAACAACATAAAAGAGAAACAAATTTTTTACCAGCATAGGGTTGTGGATATGATTAAGTTTTTGATTAGGATCATGAATTGAGCCAATCAATGTCAGGTAGAGAAAGGTATCCATTTTGTTACAATGGAAGATGCTCGCGCAATTTCGTGGATTGGTTGATGTTGAACATTAACACTGTTGGATACCGGCTCAGTGGTCCAGAGCTTAAGTGTTCGCATCCATCCAGTGCTACCAGGTTTTCAGTGATGGTCTAACATCAATCGATTTATGATCTCAACCAAAAAGAAATTTTATCGTTGAATTTCGCGTAATATAAACATCTAAAAGTGAACTGTTTATAGCCAAATTAATATTGGTTAAATGAGTGTCTACTTTTAGATCCTATGTAAGGTTATAAAATACTCAACCTAGAAGTAAGATCACTAATCAGTTAGTGAATTTCATGACAGAAAGTATTATTAATTCGCTTTTATCTTCTTGGTGAATGTAAGCACAACTGAATACAATGTATTTCATAGCAGACATGTTGTAATGTTAATAAAACCTGTTTTTTGTAACGAATTATTATAAACCATGGTGCCTTTGTTTAGCAAATTATCTGGTAGTAAATCCCTAACCACTACGCCTACAGTCCAAAAGTAATCTATCTAATAGGTAATCAGATGATAACTGTACGACTGAATTTCAGTTTTTATTTTCATTATCCAGATACAAAAAAGTCACATAATACTTACTTGTGAAGAAATGTCCTGATGCGATAAATTTTAGACTTTTGAGGTCAGATTTAGAAATTGCACCGGTTACTTGACACAGAACGATAAACATTACCAAAAAATGTACCAAAACTCCACAGGATGAAGTAACTTGTATTGTATATAACCATACTGTCAGTTTATTGAAAAGAGAAATATAAATAATAATTAATTGTCAGCAAAACATGTAAAAAATCTAATACAGTTACAGAATATATGAAGCTTGCGACAAGATAGTTTTAGATCCATATTGCTTTAACTTTTTACTTGAACTTCAGCGTTTGATGCAGAAAAATTATTTAGTTATCATTAAAAAATGTATAGAACAATCCAATAGGAAAGGAAAGTTCAAACATGATAATTACTCAATCTAATTATAACAAACGTTGAAATTCAAACTTTACACAGTTTCTGATGAAATCAAGATAGACCTCATAATAAAAGTGTACAAATTTCACTTTTCGAAAAGTGTAGCCTGTTTTGGATTTATCATACGCAACTTTACTTACTTTATAATATTCTTGTCCATAGCTAAGGTTTACAAATATTTCATAGCTTTAAAAAATGAGGATACAATTGATTAGTACCGGTCTTGGTGATAAATAAACTATCTTATAAACTGATAAGCATAGTTATACCTAACAAAATACCCATATCATAACGAACGTTAACTGTTTATATCTTACCACTGTTTTCTAGCTCTTAGGCAACTGGTTTGAAGAGAGACGAGGATAAAAAAAAAAACTTTCAACGAAGAAAGATAGATTAGCTTTGATAACACTTGTTGTCAACCTGGATTATATTGTGAATTTTCAAACACAATGTTCCGTTCTTTACATATTTAGTACGTAGATATAACTCAGTTTTCGCATGGAAAGTATATTTCCCAGTTAGTGATCTAGTTGAAAATTCAAATCAGCATTTTCTAACTAATAAGCTTCCTTTAAAATACCTATGCTTGTTTACGGACCTGATAACATACCAGCTGAAGCACTGAATTCAGACATAAAGGTAACTGTGAACATGCTCTACGCTCTATTCGGGGATATTTGGGAACAGAAACAAGTGCTGACAGACTGGAAAGAAGGATACCTCATCAAGATACCAAATAAAGGAGATCTGAGCAAATGTGGAAACTACAGAGGCATCAGGTTACTTTCAGTTCCGGAAAGGTTTTAAACAGAGTGTTGCTGAACTAGGTGAAAGGCTCAGTAGACGCTCGACTTTTTGATCAACTGACTGGGTTCCGTAAGGATCGGTCGTGCACGAACCAAATCACAACTCTACGGATCGTCGTTGAACATTCAGTTGAGTGGAGCTCGTTACTACACATCAACTTCATTGACTATGAAAAAGCGTTTGGCAGCATGAATAGGAGAACCATATGGAACCTTCCTCTACACTATGGTATGAGTAGATGAGTAAATCGTCAAAGTTACTCAAAATTCATACGACGCACTATACTGCAAGGTGGTGCATGGCGGACAGCTGACAGATGCATTCCACGTGACGAACGGTGTCAGGCAAGGCTACTTACTCTTTCTCTTCATTATAGTGGTTAACCGGATTATGAAGACCTCCACATCACAGAAGAAGCACGGAATACAATGGACAGCTTGCATGCAACTAGATGATTTGAACTTCACAGATTACCTAGCTCTTCTATCCCATATACTCCAATAAATGCTGGTCAAGACAGAAGCCCTTGAATCAATGGGCCTCAACATAAACAAGGCTATCTGCAGAAGGTTTGAATACCGCGATCGAATAAGCTCAGGGTGTGTCTCTGTTTTGTTTATCAATAACTGAATCACCTTGCCAGAAGACGTTATGTCAGCCCCATCGGTTAGCGCCTTCAACAAAAAGCTGAATCTTCACTGTAAAACAGAGCCGCAAGTATTAAAGCCGACCAACCGGCCTAATCAGTCCGTTGGATCTCTATTTCTGCTACTTAAAAATCTTAATCAGGTAAATCTTAGCTTAGCTCATATTAGACTTACATAAGTTAAAAGTAAGAAGGTATTAATGTTACCAGTGAAAATCTATTTCGTTTCTCACTGAACTTGTGGAGTCCTTACCTGTGAACTCACATTTTAAGGTTGCACACCTATGCTCGATGTTATCTATCGTAGCCAACCTGCTTAGTTGATGACTTTATTTTTGAGCGCATTATAGTATGAAGTAAAAATAATATGTCCGATATAAGGATATTTGAATAGGCCTGATACTAGTTGGACAGAGATGTTCACCGTAGGAAACTCTTTCAATAGTAGTCTCTTGACGAATGTAATGGACTACGCTTTAGTACAGTACGTATTCGAACCCAAAAGTCTTGGTTTAAATCAAGAATCTTCTTCTTTAGACTTAGTGATCACTCATGAGACCAAGGATATCGCCTATATAAATATTCTCCCACTGTTAGCAAATAGTGATCATAATGCTTTGTCATTCATGTTTAGGGCTCGTGATATAGTATATGATCTGGTTAGACTTCGCTCAAATGTGTGAAGAGCAAGCATAACAGCCGAACAAGAGTGCGTGGCAACAACAGACTAGTCGGTAAATACCAGATCATCAATTGAAGGAATATGGTATAAATTTAGAGGTACGCTCAGCTTCGTTACGTCCTCATTCATACAGTTCTTAATACCACGTAGCTCATCATGGATAACTGACGAGGTAAAGAAATATCTTGAACGTGAAAAAAGCATTAGAATATCTTAGTCTCCACAGGTTCTGAACAGTACAGACACACCTACTGTAAGACTAGGGATACATTAAAAGAGTTGATAAGTAAGACTAAACAACCGGTCATGGATTGCAAATATTTTCTGAAAACATTGATCTAATATATAAAGAAGCGAATTCAGAAACGTGGTGGGATGTAACCACTTTTTGTACTAGAAAATCCATTGATATTGACAAGAAATGAGATTGCAAAAGCTGAAGCCTTATCAAAATATTTAAGCAGGGTTTTCCATCGATGATAATAAAAGATCAACAATTATTTATAATGATAGCGGCTGGTCTACAGATCGTTCGGTTATTGAGAAAGGAGCTATCTTACGGTCACTTTAACATCTCAAGCCAGATAAGTCCGGTGGTCCTGACGGTATTTATTCTAGGTTTATAAAAGCCCTGGAGGATGTAATTGCTGAAGCTCTGGCAATATTGTTTGATGTCTTTGGGGTAGTCTCAACTGCCAAGAAATTATTAGTCCGGTTTATAAAGTAGGGGGTAAAAACGTGGTTAGTAACTGTCGATCTGTCAGTCCAACCAGTGTAGTTGTCAGACCTATGGAAAAGATTGTTCGGATAGCTATTCTAAATCATGTGGAAGGCGATTATCTTTTAGCCATGTAGAAAAATGGTTTTAGAGGTCTATCATGCCTAGCAAATCTGCTCATTGTAAGAGAATATCGGGTTGTAGCGAAAGATAGAAATATTCCGGCATATGCAGTATTCATAAGTCTAAGTAAAGCCTTTGAAAAGGTCTCTCACCTCGGTTTTAAACGAAAACTTAAAAGTTTTGGGATCCATTATGAAATCATAAGCTGGATAAGTGACTTTCTCAATGACAGGGGACAATCAATACGGGTTAATGAGAATCTGTTAAAAGTAGGGTTTCCCAACTACGATTCTAAGTCCCCTTCATTTTCTACTCCGCGTGAATGACTTACCAACTTTACCAAAGTCATCTGTTCTAGCAATATGTGTTCAAATAAATAAATAAAGTCATCTGTTTTACTCTATGCAAATGACGCAAAGATTTAGCAGACCTGTATGTCAGACAGAATAATATTACAGGATGACCTAAATTCACGGGTCGAATGGATGGGTAAATGGTTATTAGAAGTTAACTCTATCAAGGGTGTAGTGATACAAATAAATAACTGAGATGATTTATATCACTACAAAATATATGGAGTTGTGTTACCTAAAGTAACAGATTATAAAGATTCAGGAATCACAATAAGCAACGAGCGCAAGACTAAGAGTAACTGCAAGGTTGCCGCCGCCAAAGTCTTAAGGGCCTTATGAGCTGTTCGTAAGTCATTTCATTATTTAAACGAAGAAATATTCGGAGTATTACACCCGACTTTCGTGAGACCACATTTCGAATACGAAATCCAAGCGGCGAGTCCTTATTTTAGGTATGAGGCGGATATGCTAAAATGAGTAGTCAACAGTTTGAAGATGACACAACTATTTGGAGTTTGACAACACTTTAACCAGTAACACCTTCTGTAATCGAAACGTGCCCACCCAGTGAAATCATAAGTCCGAAGCAAAGAGATTCGATGACATATTTGATAATTTATCAATATATTGAGAAGTGACTATATCTAAACTGGCTAGCGGCTGTAGAAGTTGAGCACAGCGTCCCCACTCTTGATCTGGTGCGCATGAGTGACCGAGAGCCTTCAGTTAGGTGAGCCCATTAAAAACAATACGGTCAACATCAAATGTCGAAGATTTACAGAGCTATTGATTCTGGGGATTTATTTACCGCCACAGGTCTCTCTGACCCATCTTGTGAAGACAGACTGAGACGCCTCAACGTATTTCTGTTGTATTACCGCAGGTTAGAGAGTGATCTAACACTGACTTGCGGTATACTGAACGATGAATTCATCACTAATATTTCTTATGTTTTCTCTCCATCTAGGACTGGTGATCTGAGAGAAAATTCTAAGGAAGTTAAGAAACCGAGATGAAATTACTGGAGTTCAGTTTCTCACACTAAGTAGTGAATTATTAGAATTATTTAACAAAAAAAAGTAATATCGGCACCTGTTGATACGCTGAAAGCGAGATTACATCTCCATAGCACAACAAATCTTAAGGATTAATATACGTCTATCGACCCCCTCCCTACTTCGAGTACTGCCAGCTTGATTGAAAAAGATGATAGAAAAATCGAGCTTCCTCTAATAATGATCATTTACTCTTGGTTACACCTACTATGATAAGACAAGGGTGCTTATGATAAAATCATCTTACTGGAGTAATCATCGATGTCTTTAGTCATCAAGGAGTCTACTATAGTAGACAAGTAAAAAAGTACACTTGTCTATTTGAACAAAATACATGATAGAGCATACAATACCTACTTGGATTTAACCAATCTCTTATGCGGTCATAGATCACATAATAAATGTAGTAGCATCCGAAATATGCCTTGTCATACAACGCCGGTCGCATATATCCATCAAAACAAACAGTCCAAAGACCTATTCTCTGGAACTGGCTGTTACCTTCTGGAACCGACTGAATCCAGTAAGGTGATACAAATGAGATAAAGTTTGAACAAAATCCGAATGTGGTAAAAAATACTGTGCACGAAAACAAACGTTTATTTTCCATCATCGGGAAGCATATTGAATAGTCGCTGCTTTAAATAAACAGCATTAGTGTATTTAAACTAAAAACACAGACAACTGTATTGCATAGCTTTCAAGAAGACGCAACTCATAACAAAGCTCTCACGTCAAATGGTTGTGGACGGAATAGAAGAAGCTTTCGTCAAGTGTTGTGTGAATATCACTTCTCTTTGTCGTACATGTACAGCTTTTAAACCGATTTGTTTTATAGACCATGGTTCTTATTTCGCCTCTAGGATATCTTTATGACAACTGCACTTCAGTCCCTGTATTTTTGCTATACGTGTAGTTAATGTACTTCCATTCGCCAAATCTGTCACAGAAGGGGATATTGTATGGAAAAAGGCCGTCGGTGATACAGTAAATGTAGACGATTTGGTTGCGGAAATCGAGACTGACAAAACTAATGTCCCTGTCCCAGCCCCATGTTTAGGTGTGATAACACAATTTCTTGTTGAAGATGGGGGGAAAGTTACTGCAGATGAAGATATTTTTAAAATAGAGGAGGGCGCTGTTCCAACTTCCACAGTATCTGAAAGGCTACCCCAAGAGACTGCAAAAAAACAGGCTGAAGAGAAGCCTCTCGTCTCACCTCGAGCTCTTTCATCAGTTTCTCCACCTCCAGAAATAGCTCAAAGTCTTGCAACAACTTCATCCTTATCCCCATCTCTTGATAGTGCACGTGCAGAATAGCGTGTAAAGATGAGCCGTATGAGGCTTCGGATCGCCCAACGTCTTAACAGGATTCTGTGTCTAGTAGCAGGGGATCACCAAATCCTCCAGGCAGGAACCTAGCTATGTCAACAATAAAAGAGGAAAAGAAATTGATAAATTGTAGTGTGATACTCTCCTTGGTCCTTAAGAATAGGTCAAGTTGCCTCTTGAAGGACTCCTGAGAAGTCGCTTGGACTAGCACGGCCGGCAGCGAGTTCCAGCATTTGACAACTCTTAAAGAGTAGAAGTTGTGTCTATATTCCGTCTTGCTATGTTGAGTTTCCAGTTTCTGGGTGTTACCCCTTAAGTTATTATTCGAACTAAACTTAAGTAGGTGTTTAAGAGGATGTCCAGAAGTGTTAAGAATACTATAAGCCATTAATAAATCACCTCTAAGACGCCTATACTCTAATGGGTAAAGGTCTAGTGAATGGAGGCGTTCGTCGTAAGGCTTAGATTTGAGTCCGCGTACTGATTTCGTGGCTCACCGTTGAATACGCTCCAAAGTGACCTTGTCCTTTTGGAGTGAGGGGGGAGTACTATGTTTCCGTACTTTTAATGGTAACGGATAAAACTATTGAAGATTGTATGGAAAGTTCTTCCGTCAAACTGACCAAAAATGCGCTTCAACGTTACCAGTGCAAGATTTGTTCGGAAGGCATTTTTGTCACAGTTAGCGTAAGACTTTAAATCATGGGGCACCAGGACTCCTGAATCTTTTTCGATTTGGGATACGACGAGAGAAGAGTTTCCTAAGTTGTAACTGTAGTTTGCAACATGTCGTAGATGAACTACTTTACGTCTTGAAGCGTTAAAGGTAAGTCCGTTATCGTCTGCCCAACTTTGAAGTCGAGTCAGATCCTCCTGTGGAGATGGACCCGACAAGCTTATTTTGTAAATAGTTTTCAATGTTATTTACTTTGTCAACCTTACACTGTATGTATATTTAACATTAAATGACTGTAACTGTTGTTTTAGTAAATGACCTTGAACACACTTTCCGTTGTATTATTACATTGCTTGACATGTCGCTGCTGGCTAACAAATACAATGCTTCTCGCACACTCCTCGTTCTATTTCCATTTGTGATTGAGCTATCCGAAGTCTAAATCAAATTCTATCTCCATTTATAGACTGTAACCGAAATATATCACATCCAACGTGGATTATATCATTAGAGAGTTCACCAACCTGTTCAGAATCAACAAACATTTATAATTGTGGATTTACTTCACTGGACCTAATCATAACACGCAACATCTGATCAATTTAAGTAACGTCCCCAATTTTTATTGTATTTGTGACAATTAATTATGTGTATCAATATTACTATTGATTTTTAATAACTTTGTTTATATTTTTTGTATTCATACCTGTTTGGTCCACCACAATTATTTGGTGAGCCTTGAATTCATTATAGACGTTTACTGTTTATATATATATTCATTTTTTTTATTACTCGGCACGCTAGTTCATTTATTTTTGTTTTTGACATCATGAACTCTGCTGGTAAACTCATTGATATAGATAGTCCACTGATCAACTCCTTGAACTCTTCACAATCAGAAGATAATGCCTTAACCTCGATCAACGCAATTTCAGACTTAAGACTACCAACGTTCGGCGTTAATAATCCAAGAATCTGGTTTGCACAAATCGAAGCTTTGTTCATGGCTAGAGGTATAAAATCTCAGGCAACAAAGTATGCTTATGTAGTTTAGGCTTATAGGTTAACAACCTCCCGAAGTCGTTTCGGAACTCATATTATGTTTGGACTTACTAATATACATGAATACATATACCTCGTTAAGAGAAAATACATTTACCATGTAAGTTTAACGAGAAGTCATGTATATGTGGGATAGGATACCTATCAGGGATGGTTTGATTATTCAGACGGCGGTAGTCGCCACACGGACGCCAATCCTGGTCTTTCTTTGGTACCATGTGCAACGGCGAGGCCCAAGGATTATTAGATGGTCTGATGATACCAAGTTGCATCATGTGTTCAAATTCTCTCTTAGCTGCCTGCAACTTTGTTGGTGGTAATCTCCTCGCTCTGGCGCGAATGGGTGGTCCGGTGGTAGTGATATGGTGTTGCACCAGCTGTGGGTTACCTTCCTTTTGGTAATCTGATTTTGTAATGCACTGGTATTCTGTTAGAATATCGTTGAAAATGTTGTTCACAGGTTTCATTATTCGAACACCATGGATTTCGTTGTCGTTGGAGAGTGTACCATTTACCTGTAAACGTGTGTTTACATCGATTAGTCTCTTGTTGGTCATATCTACTAACAGGTTGTGCGCACTAAGAAAATCAGCCCCGAGGATGGGTCGTTTGACTTGAGCAACTATGAATACCCATGTGAATCTTCTGCGGAGCCCGAGGTCTAATATAAGGGATTGCTCTCCGTAAGTTTTGATAACTGATTCGTTAGCCGCTATTAGAGACAGTTTAGTGCTTGTTGTCTGTTGTCTGTGGAAGAGATGGAGTGGGATGATGCTGATTTCTGCTCCAGTATCGACTAAAAAGTCCGAGCCAGAAATGCGATCCCTGACGTGAAATAGGCGGCTAACATGTTGACCAGTAACAGCTGCCGCCATTACTGTCTGGCCACTTCGTTTCCCTGAAAGTTTGTATGTTTGTCTAAAAGTTGCACGGTTTGGTGCAACGGCGTGCTTTCTTACCATAATTCGAATGATACCAACAAATTCCGGCTGCTCGTTTAGGTGACCTAACACGATGTCTGGATACTGGTCTTCTTCTGGATGTAGATCTGGCAGGTCGAGAATGGATGGTGGAAATAGTCGCCTGCAGTGATGCTAGCTGTTGTGTTAACTGTGCTATTTGTTGTTGGATGTTGTTAGATGCGCTAATCGTGTCTCTACTAGAGGTTTGTAGTACATTCAAACGCTGGCTGTCGGGATAAATCTCCATCATTTTGTCAGCCATATCAGCTAGATCGTCGAGATTGACGGAAGTTCCTGATACGCTGAGAATTTGGGTGACGTTCTGTGGTAAACGTTGAAACCACATCTGTTTAAGTAATGCATCGTCTACCTTATATGATCCTGCTAAATGTTTCATATGTCGGAGTAATTGCGAGGGTCTCTTGTCCCCCAATTCACAAGACGTTAGCAATTGCTGCAGTCTTCTCTCGTCTGAAACTGAGGTGCGTTGGATTACGGCTGTCTTTATTTTATCATAAGGTTCAGCTTCTGGCACGTGATCGATTAAATCTCCGACTTCCGCAGCAATCTCAATAGGGAGTGCCCCAACTACATAAGCATACTTTGTTGCCTGAGATTTTATACCTCTAGCCATGAACAAAGCTTCGATTTGTGCAAACCAGATTCTTGGATTATTAACGCCAAACGTTGGTAGTCTTAAGTCTGAAATTGCGTTGATCGAGGTTAAGGCATTATCTTCTGATTGTGAAGAGTTCAAGGAGTTGATCAGTGGACTATCTATATCAATGAGTTTACCAGGAGAGTTCATGATGTCAAAAACAAAAATAAATGAACTATGGAGTGCCGTCAACAATCACAACAGATCGTGGTCCCCAATTTCAATCTGTCCTTTTTCAAGAGTTCACTAAACTTCTAGGCGTCAACCACATTAAAACCACAGCTTACCACCCAGCGACTAATGGTTTGGTCGAAAGATTTCACCGCCAATTAAAAAGCTCGCTGATGGCACAAGATGATACAACCAAATGGAGTGACGCATTACCACTCGTACTCCTGGGAATACGTTCAACTATAAAGGAAGATATAGGTTGTACAGCCGCCGAGCTAGTTTATGGTACAACCCTTACATTACCAGGTCAACTAGTAGACCCAAACACTTTAACACCAACAGATCCAAGTCATTTTGCTAGCCAACTGCTGCAAACCATGAAACGAATCAAAGCTATACCGCCTCGTGAACATAACAATCGAATACAGCTCGACGAAAACCTAGAAACATGCAAGTTTGTTTTCGTTCGAGTTGATGCAGTTAAAAAGCCATTGAAACAACCTTATGAGGGACCATATCAAGTAATTAAAAGAACGAACAAACACTTCATAATCAACAAGTGTGGAAAGAAAGAGACTATCGCTATCGATAGAATAAAGCCTGCTTTCTACGACACACAGCACGACAAAGAACATACTAATTCACTTAATCAACCCCGTCCAACAACCATCACTACAGCAGACATGGAAGAAAAATCGAGTAACAAACCTACTTGTTTAACGCGTTCAGGCAGAGCTGTAAAAAAACCCAAACGCTATGTACATTTCGCCGAATAAAAAAGAATTAGAAACAAACAATTATCGATGTACTATACTATTAAATTCATCCGATTTTTTCCAACAAAATTTCTAATTAATTTTTTTTTCACAGTGTACATAACTAATCACATATTTCCACAATTACTCGTTCTGCCAGTTTTTTTAAAAAAAAAATTTTTTTTTTGTGCCAATAATAAACGAGTAAACTCTGTTTAGTTATTCATTTATCGCACACAAACATAAACAGTTCAATTTTTTTGGGTCTTTAGCACTTTTGCATATTATTATTATTATTGTCAGCCAACCAAGGCGTTAAATGACAGTGTCTTCATTTTTTTGTGTGTGTGCCTACTATGCTATGCTACATCTCTACTACATGTCATACTCATCTCCACATTTTTTTTGGTTATAACTTTAAATATTATATTTGTATACATATATATATCATACCCTTACATTTTTTTCTATTATAACCAGTGTTACCTCCGGACACTGGGGGGGAGCTATGTGGAGATGGACTCGACAAGCTTATTTTGTAAATAGTTTTCAATGTTATTTACTTTGTCAACCTTACACTGTATGTATATTTAACATTAAATGACTGTAACTGTTGTTTTAGTAAATGACCTTGAACACACTTTCCGTTGTATTATTACATTGCTTGACATGTCGCTGCTGGCTAACAAATACAATGCTTCTCGCACACTCCTCGTTCTATTTCCATTTGTGATTGAGCTATCCGAAGTCTAAATCAAATTCTATCTCCATTTATAGACTGTAACCGAAATATATCACATCCAACGTGGATTATATCATTAGAGAGTTCACCAACCTGTTCAGAATCAACAAACATTTATAATTGTGGATTTACTTCACTGGACCTAATCATAACACGCAACATCTGATCAATTTAAGTAACGTCCCCAATTTTTATTGTATTTGTGACAATTAATTATGTGTATTAATATTACTATTGATTTTTAATAACTTTGTTTATATTTTTTGTATTCATACCTGTTTGGTCCACCACACTCCTGAAGTGCCTGTGTATCGTCTTGGTTGCGTATCTCTCTCCAAAGTTTCACGTCGTCGGCAAAAAGTAATAAGTCTGACGTTAAAATAAAAAGATGACGCTGTTGGCTTTACTTTTAGGGATGTATATAAATATCCCATGTCTAAATACTTGTCAGTTAGTTTGACTAGGACAACTCATAAGAAAGTATAATTTAAGACAAGTCACTTAGTTGTGTAGTACCGAAAAACCCTTTAGCTGTGGAGCAACATGGATTACGTGCGAAGCAACCTGATTATTTGTATTTACTTATTGTGTTAGAAAGATCTTGAATCCGAAGGTTACAGTCTGTCTGTCGATGTAGTAGTTCTATATTTCGGAAAGATTTCTGATAAGACGCTGCACTTATGACTTAAGAAAGAGTTATTTGTTTTCAGAATAACAGGCGAAATGCAACTGATTTATAAATATCATTTGTGTGAGGAAACTGTTATGAATTGAAGGTAACTTTGTCCAGATGGAAACCAGTAAATGTTAGCGTACTACGACACCTAATTTCCTCTTATACGTTAAGGAACTATGGAAAGGTCGACATAATCATCAGTCATATGTACAGATGGTTTAAAAGTTTTGAAAAACATCAATATGTTAATGCTCTTGATCTATGTTCTCGTACTGCTACGATAATCCAAAAACCGATGATTAAAAATGAATTCCAGTAGTGGATGAATAATCTAAATGGGATAAAACAATGGCCACCAGTGCACTAAGCAATAGTCATTATTTCATATTTTGGTTAACGTTACTGAGAAATGCTGCCTTTGTTCATTCTGGCGTCATATTCTGAATTTTTTTCCAGATGAATGTCAGTCTTCTACGAAACCTCTGCAATAATGACAGGAATACTGTCTACTTCTGTTCGCATTTTGGTAGATTTTGAAAACATCCATACCAGAAAGTTGTCATCGAATTACCACTGAGCGCTGACCAAATTATTCACCAGGCACATCTTATAAGGCTGTTCACTTAATATTAAGTGGTTTATGGAACTCCGTCAAGTTCCTAAAAATCGGTGATCAAAGTTCCGACATATGCTGCAGTGTAATCCCATTACATTAACTCCTTTTGATAAGATAGTTTACCTCGTAAAATTCTGTTTGTTATCCAGAGAATTTATGTAGTTAAATAGTCATTATGTGGTCTGGGTGTAGGGTAACTTCATATAGCGGTAAATAAATCAACAAAATAAATAGCTCTGTAAGTTTTTGACATTGGATGCTGACCACATGTTTTAATGGACTCACCTAGATGAAAGCACTCGGTCAAGTATCCGCACCGAATCACGAGCGGAAACACCGTGTTCAACATCTACCGCAATCGCTAGCCAGATTAGATCAGACAATTCCGATCTATTGGTTATCGCAAAATACACTCTTACGATCTCCTCGATTCTGTCTTTCGATTTTTCTTGGTGGGTACGAGTTATACTAGGTGTTACTGGTTAAAGCGTTGTCAAACACTGAATACCTGTGGCATCATCAATCAGTCTGACAGTCACATAGTAGTTTTTCGGCTTCAATAGACTGATATTGAAAATTGTAGCAGACGATCTCTGCTATCTGTTCTCTCAGTTTGCCTCAGTAAGACATACCTAAAGTCTTCTAGTTTGGTTTAGACTACTTACGTGTTGAAATAATCACTCACACTTTACAGATGATGCAATTATTAGTTCGTAAACCATTCTTTTCTTCATCTGAGTCACAGTGCCAGAGTGGACGAAGAAAAAGTCTGATTGTCACGATTCTCCAGAATTCTTAATATCCCGTTCAGTAGGATAGCATAAAAAGGACAGTCAACCAGAATCCAGCCCAGGAGACCCTGTTATACTTTTAAAATCATTGGGTTGGTTTTATTATCGCGTTGTAGACCACTGACTTTGATGATGTGTATTGAGTTAGTCTGGGATGGTGTGTGACCGACAAGCTAACATCGAATTCACACCTCACAGTTAGCACCTGACGCGAATTACCTCTTCGTCGTATTCAGAGACTGTCTGCTTTGATAACCAATGTTAGAGATATATTAGTAGGAACAGGTACAAGGAGCAGAGTGCGATCACTGCTACATGAGCCATTCCATGGCATGCGATTAGTTGACGCGCTCTGGTTGCCCTTGGGCCTGGCGAGGATCGGTGAATTACCCGATACCCAGTGAACCGGCTGCCTGGTGACTTCGTTAGAGCCCATTGACATTTCACTGATTCTGAATCAGTATATCTGAGAGGAATTATCTTAAACCATTCGGCATTTCAGACAGGCAAACTATCGCTAAGCAAACTCCCTTAGATACTATTGTGATTCACAAGCCATCATATTATGGTTCACAACTGCAATCTATGGATGCACTTGGAATGCCCTCAGGAGTGTAAACATTGTTTTTAAAGTTCGAAGGTATGCACTCTGTAGAAAGAAGTCTTCCTGAAGTTTTAGACTGTCTTTCTTACCACCTTGATATAAATATCAGACCCGATAGGAACCATGTCACTGAGGTGTAAAGGTACTCCAGTAAATGTTAGTATCCTCACATTAATCTGTAATACTAATATTCAGGTCGGTACTAGGGCACTTATCTTTGCTACTACAATAATAATCCAATTCTGGGATTGTGGACGTGACGTGATGTAACTATCCAGCATACCAGACCTCACGTCGAAGTCTGATTCTTGTGCATACAACCTTGCCCTATCGTGACAATCGGCAACATGTTTAGCATTTTCGAAAGACAAGCTCGAATTGGGGATAGGATATGAAGAAGTTTAAGTTACACAATAACCTTGTCTGCATGGCCGACCTACCCTGTCCTGGATCTGTCCTCTAGTGCTCAGTATATTTGACCTTCAGTGTTTAGTGTAGATATTCTCACCTGCCAAATGCCCGACCTCAAGG